TTTCTCAAACAATGAATTTGAAAATGCAATATTATATTATTGCAATTTTATGTTATAGAATATTTTCAAATCTATTGTTAAATTCATAAAGCACTTACAATAATTTTAAATGACTATTCTAATCATTATTTTATTGAATTTGAAAATATTCTACAATTAAAAACTGCAGTAATGATTATATTTTCAAATTTATTGTTTGAGAAATAATTCATGAATCACTTAGAATTATTTTCAATACAATGAGGTTGAAAATAATCTACATTATTGCAATGGACAGGGAAACTACAAAAAAATCAACATTGACTGCATTTTTATTTATTGTTTTTATAATTATAATGTTTATGTTTATTGTAATAATTTTGAGCTTGATTTTTCCAATGATTATCACCATCATATTGTATTTTGCCACTCAAAATTCGGTTAATTGATCGACACCAACTATATATTAGGACATTCATGGTCATATTAATAAAAATGTCTTTAACAATTTTAGCATGCGCATTACATTGTTGAGGAAAATTCACAGAAATCTCTACGTACATTTTTAGGGTGTGTTTTAAATTGTCTTTAGGTACATTATTGTTTTTTAAACAATTTGTAACAATAATCTGAATTTCATTAAAAGTATTTATTAACGCATTTGATGGGTAACACAACCATGATTTGCCTTTTTGATATTCTTTTCTCTTTATATAATCATTTCTAGAATCATTTTGGTCCCCAATTAAAATCTGCTTGCATGTTTTACAAGAACCAATTCTTTTTAAACACTTAGTCAGGACCCAGCCACATACATAGTTTTTCTGTCCATGGTCTTGAATAACATTATTATAATCATAAACTAATACATCAACATCATATTCAGTGCATGAATTTGTATTGCTTACAACTGTTACATTGTTTTCGATATAACTAGGTGAAGTTAAAAAAAAATCTAAACTTTGCAAACAGTCATTATTGTCAATCTCACAGTTAGCTCCTATTGAGTGGGTTGAATTATAATTATTCAGTAGCAAAGATTTATAGGCGCCTTCGAAGGCTATACAATTAGGGGCTATGTTTCTGGCACCATAGCTTCTTATATTGCCAAAAAAATTTTCAACCGGGTCCTGGTTAAAGTGTCTGGTTAACATGCAATCAAATTTATAAATTGAAGATATTTTTTTCCAAATAAACCTCATTCCTTCAATTGTACTGATCAAATTTTTTACCGAAGGTGGTATAGTTTCAATTAACCTAATTTTGCCTGCAGTTTGTTTGGCAGAAATGAATTTAATGCTTTTAAATGTTTTAATTGCATTTTCCCATAGATGATGATGAGGTGAAAATGCTCTTACAGGGCCTTTATATATTTTGCCATTAGGTATGTGAAAAGTATTTGAATTTAATGAATCGAACACATTGTCAATTAATGTTACGATTGGGACTAACTGTTGACATTCCTCAGGCAATATTTTTCTTGCTGTCAAATGATTTGTTGTACATGCAACTGTGTGGCTGAACATTTGAGCTGCATTTTTTACACGCATCTTTTTAATTTTGTCTTTATAAACATGTTCATCTGTAATTTTTTGTAGACATCTCAGTTCTCCTTCACATTTATCAGCTTCATACAGTCTTATAAAATATTCCCACTTTACAACTTTCTCTTTGTTTTGATCATTATAGTCAATATATAACATATCTTTAGTCAATAAGTTGTTCCTTAAACCTTTTAACAGGTGAGGTACATCATACAATGGTGTAATCTCTTGATTATTTATTATAAAATTATTATTTTTCCATTCTTTTCCTGCTTTGTTGTATCTTTCTTTTGTTTCAGCAACTAAGGCTGATACAGCAGCTACATTAGTAGTGCCCTGATCGCACACTGTGCAAATCACTTTTAGGCCTGTGTTTTGTACTTTTGAAATTACATCTTTTATAATCACTTTTAAATCAGTTGTATTTAAACTATTCGTAAAATAATATGCTACAGGTTGTTTATAATTTGCCTTTATGCCCTTGACCATAAACACTAAAACATGGTTTGCAAATCCTTCGCTACCATGACTTGTAAACCCTTTTAATTTATCATTTGCTGCGTCATAATGGATTTGTGGGGTCAAAGACATTTCATCAAAAATTAAGGTACATAACCTTTCTTCAACCTTTAGCTTTTCCACAGCACTTTTTATTTTTCTAAAAACCACCTTATTCACACCTGGGTTTATTTTAATTTGTGCCAAAAGTCGTTTAAGCGATTTAGGTGAAGGTAATGTGAAGTATTTAGATAACAGACTAAATCCTTTTGGGCTTCTCTTATACAGGCTCAAACTCAATACCTTTTCTTCTATAGTAAAACGTCGTCCTTTAGCCTTAGTACTGGTCAACCGACTTTGCATTGCAGTGAATAATTTGGCTGGATTTGTCATGCTTTCAGTTACTTTTTTAAATGCACTCTCTTGGCTAATTTTACCAGCATTGATGAGACGCGTTTTAAAGGTGTCACATCTTTTTTGTAGCCTTTTTACTTGGCGCCTCAAGTTGATCACTTGCTTTTGGAATGGCTTGATAGTGTTTACCAATATTGCTGGCAATTTCTTTATAATGTCTGAAAAATCAAATTTAAATATGGTTATTTCAATATACACTGAATATCATAAACATAAAAAAATTTAAAAGAAATTGACAGACATCTCAAATTGTCAAACACAATACTTACACTTTTTAGATGATTTATCTCCTTGTGTTTTACAATAATTATGTTCTTTAATTATATTTGCGAGATGTAGTAGTCCATCAGCAATAACATCAGTTTCTGAAAATTATAAGTAATTACAATAAGTACCTATGCAATGAATACACACATAAAAAGTTCATATAGGTATTCAGAGTCGCCTATTAATCTCTAGACTAATTTATTAATCTGATCATGAAATTTTGTATGTATGCTAAATCTCATTCTGAATAACAATAAGTTCAATTCTAAACTGGTGCGAAAAGATACTAAAAATGTTGTCTATTTCTGATATACTAAAAAGACTCCAAAGAAACTCATTTTTCATTAATTTATGATGCAATAATAGAATCTTATGCTGGCTCTGATCCACAGATTATCTTCACAGATATTATTTTAACAAAATTATAAGAATCCCTTCCCAAATTTTTCAGTCTATGACAAAGAGGTACAATAATGTTGTGTTAATTCATACAAATTGATTTGGTTGATTATTTCTGAGGGTCAATATATAATCAAAACGTCATGGTGTAAAAATTGCATTGTAATTTCATACACACCTGTTTCAGTCAAATCTTTTCCTTTAAGTGAAGTCTCAAAATTTTGTGATTCATTAATACCACTTTTGACTGAAAAATAAAAGGAATATAATTATTTTTGAAATTATGTTTGTGAAAAAAAAATTAAAATGGAATAATAAAAAGTTTACGTAAGTAAGTAAATAAGTGTAAGTAAATAATAGACATTTATTTCACACAGACCTTTTTCAGTTATGTCTTGTTCCTGAATTCTGTACTGAAATGAACTTCCACTATATTGTCCATTAACATCACTGTTGACTGTAAAATAAAAGGTATACAATAATTAACATATCGCAAATGAATGCCATTAGTTATTTTAAAATAGGTTCAAATAACTTACCAATGGAAGCATGTGTTGACTGGGGTACAGTTTTTAGATTATTTTCTATGTTTAGGATAGGATGTCCTTGAAACAAAATATACTCAATTAGACCCGAAAATACAAAAAATGCAAACAAATCTGGTATCAGTACTATGGGTATGTCACAAACTCCTTGTTGCATTAGACACACACAGTTTCATAATTTCACTTCATATGTTATAATATCATAAACAGAAAGATATCTTACCAGGAAGATTTTGAGAAGGTACTGCTAAAGCGTTAAGACGGTTGTTTCTGTTACGGACATCATTAGTGAAGTGTATGTCACAAACAACTTTTTTTCTATAAATTTCATAGTCAGTACTGGTCTCCAATTTCCCACCTGCTACTGATACCCAAGCTTTAAATTGTTCTGGAAACTTGTCAGGGTTGGGAAAATTATGACGTATCATACCTGTAAAAGTACAAACTAATTTGTGATTCTGTTTCAGTCATTAACATTCAAATTTTACTTAGTTATAATTTTATCTAAAAATATGTGGAATTGTAAAAACTAAAATAGTACATTTCCAAAAAGAGATTAAATGAAGGTTCCGTTGAAGATAAAAGTTTTTAAACTTACCACTAGAGAGTGGGCAGCCTAACGCACAGCGTTTAGGCATTGTAGTGTGGATGAAATAGAATACACAATAAAATTAAAACTAAAGACTAAAACCAATTCAGCGTCTTTTCGCACAGTTTTGAACAACACATAAAAAGCGTCTTTTCGCACACGGTTTAGAACAACACAGAAAAGCGTCTTTTCGCACAAGGTTTAGAACAACACAGAAAAGCGTCTTTTCGCGAATTGCAGAGGAACGAATTCAACTAGAATCCTCTTCCAAGAAATGTAGCGGTACGAAGGAGTGAACTCGACTTCAACACTTCAAAAGTTAAAATTGCTCGTCGTTACTCAGATAACAACAACAACAACGTCATCAGATCAGCCATTATTATTGCCATATCACAATCAATGTTGCTATGAACAAATTTTGTAATTTCTTCAATTTTCATTTACATAATAATAATTGTAATAACTTCTAAAAGGTTCTATAATTAATAATAATATTTCGTTCAAAAAATTTTTTTTTAATTATAACCTTATTAAAACGACAAATGCAGTAGTAGTGACATCTATGGTATCACATAGCAGTTATTTTATTACAAAATCTTTTAGGAATGGCTTAATAGATGGAGCTAGCTTCCATACAAATCTCATTTTATATGGTGATATAGGGAAGTGTCCCACCCCGGGCCACACCTATTGCATCCCTAGTCATAAAGCCATTGAACATCCCTACATAACCTTAATTGCTACCTCTTCAGTCTGTGCTAGATTGTTCTCATTTTATTCATCCAACCAGGCTGCTGCTATAATGATAAAATTATAGTTTAATTATATCATTGAAAACCTTAACAGTTGCCAAATAATGTGTATCATCCTCACTCTGATTTACACAACCGTATAATATAGTGTAATATAATCGACAGCTCACACAATGGAACTCTTGGAAACTATTTATCGAAATATAAGATTACAGCTCGCAAATTTACCGGCAAATATTCCAAAAACATTTGAATCCGTTAATAAAGCTGTAAATAAATTAAGGGTTCCACCGTTTACTAAAGAAAATGTATTGTACTACTATTTACCAATGCAAGGTCTCGTTAGTTACACAACTTTATCAGTGAGTGTAATGAATCCTCATTTAATGGTCAGGTAAGGAGGTTTAGAAGTAGTTTCTTTATTGGCTTTCTCAACGCCTACAGTAACTATAAAATATCGATTATGTTACGTTAAGATATTTATGTTCTAGATTATTTCCTCGCCGAGATATTACGGACGTATTATTTTTGTCAGCGGGTGGAGGAGCAGGACTATGGCTGTGGGCACGTCCACACATGGCTGCTGCAGCGCCTACTAGGCGGTTCTCATGGGCTTTTCTTGGAGGATGTCTCTGGCCTTTAGGATCAATATTTTTATGGGCAATCTTGAGAAGTTCAATAGGTCAGCGTCCTATTCTTGGTACAGTACTAGGTATCACTACTGGTGCAATGCTCACAAATATTGCCCTCGATTATTTCCATTATGTAGAACTTATGTTTTGTGGTGAGGTTCATTTACCAGAAGAAACATATTCACCTAATAGTGATGATGAAAAATATGATATTGATATTTAAAGTTTAGTACTAACATTTTTAGCTTTGCTTTATATTGTAAATAATGGACATGAATTAAGTGTAATTTAGGAAGATATTGGATTATTTGGTAGAAGTTAAGGTTTTTGGTTTATACAGCATAATATTTGAAATATTAAGTACCTTATTTAAGTAAAGTAATCATAATCTTGTCTTTACACACTTAAGTGTTGTTATTAAATTATCCATGTACTGCTTTGTCTAGTCTTGCACAAAATGTTATTATAAAAACCATTTGAATATTTTAAAGTGTCTTTATTACTTAGAAAACATGCCTCACTGAATTACCTATAATCCCATTATAATAAAAAAATGTTATACTACAGTCAATTAACAAAACCTCTTGAGATAGATACCATTAATGCAAGCAAAAATCTTAATTATTGGTGGCCATGGCCCCCCTGACCTGCCAAGAGAAACCAGGTGCTAAGGATATACCAGAAAAAATCTTTATAGTATTAGTAAATACCTACTTACACAAAAAAAAACAAACCCAAGCTTCTAACTTTACATGCCCTAACTCACAAGCTATGTTATAGTTACTACAAAACCTATTATACTTTTAACAGAAATGTAGTGCATCGTAAGTCTGGCACTAGTGTACTCAATCAAGAGTAAGAAACGGCACAATTGCAATGTCAATCGATAGCGATAGACTTCGAGGATAAGCATGCTGGTATGACTGTAGTAAAACTGCCAACTATTTGTAAACAACTTTTAGACTTCATCTTGGCCTCATCTTAGATGAAAATGTTGAAATACAAAAAAAGTACAGTACTACATAAATGTTTGCAGTAATCTGACATGGGGCTGTTATATTCTTTGGGCTTGCTCTTGAAATAATTACCTAAAGTCCGCGCGATATATGGTCCCACAGTGCCCGCCTACAGTACTTACGAATTTTAATTTTATTTACCTTTTTTAATTTCTTTAGTTTATTGATTTAAAATAAGATTCTAAAATAATTCTGAATTTTTTATCAAAGAAACAACATTATTAGGAAATTTTGTATGTATATTAAACCGAGACGCGTAGGTATAACTATATAGGTATAACTCGCAAATAAATGTAGAATATAAAAAAACTGACTAAGAGCGGGTTACACTCGCCCATCAGATTCGGAAAAATATTGCATTTAAAAAACCATAGACTATTAAAAGGTCTTCCAGTAATCCTAGCGATATTTGGTAAATTTTAGCCTATTCTATTTAATAACCCCAAATCTATTTTTTTGTAATTATAAGAAAAAAAAAAGATTCCATAGTATATTTTAATATTAAATTTCCTTTACAAGGTTTGCGATTTGTGTACAATGTAGCAAATATCATTGTATTTAGTTATTCTGAGGAGGCTTAGACCACTCTACATTTAAAATCAAGTGATCATAACCATGTCCATTGAGTGTCTGGATAGCCTTTGCAGCGTCAGCGCGGAATTTAAAATGAACATATGCAAATCCTTTGCAATGGCCAGTGCTCTGAAAAAAAAACACCTCATATTATTATAATATTTTGCAACTAGCTTCCCGCCAACAGCTTCGCTCGCATGGTCGTGTATTATACATAAAAATCTCCCACTTAATGACTCCATATATTGTTGAAAAATCGCATTAAAATTAGTTATGTAGTTTAAAAGATATCAACGTACAGACAACGGGAAGCGACTATGCTTAGATAATTTACCCAGTTGTGATGTATCAGTTTATAAATGACTGAAAGATGGTGATGGACATATCACAAAAATTGGACATCTTATGAGTATGAATAATACTGCTAAGCACTAATAAAGTGATGACACTAATAATAATTCACGTTGTCATTGATATTGATTCAGGTAAGATTTTTGATGGCCTCCACGATAAAACAAAAAAATCTACCAATGTCAATTTCACAATCTATCTGACCAGCCATAGATGAATATACTTTAATCCAGGGTTCGTAATTATCAACATAATATCTGTAGTTACTGGCAACATTTTTTTAAATACAGAAAGGCATTTATCTACACTAATATTATAATGAGGAAAGCTTAGTTTCTTTGTAATGAATAGGCTCAAAAACTACTGGAACGTTTTTAAAATTCTTTCACCATTCGAAAGCTACATTATCCACGAATAACATAGGCTATATTTTATTTTGGAGAAATATACGGTTCCGTAAGATATTTGGGTTTTTCGGACACAAGGTGTAAAAAATCCACCAGAAAAGTTACTTATTTTGCGTACGCCGCCTAAACTATAAAAGAAAGAACCATAAAATGTTAATTGTAGATCTTATAAATATCTACAAAAAATCCACGACACACTATACCTATCTATGTCGAGTAAGGCACAACAACCATTTTTTTATTTAAATTCTTGAATTTTTTTTGGACTACATTTAAACGCGTTTATTTTACTTATGCTATTAATCCTTATCAAAATAAATTGTATATTGATAATATTTGGCCTTTGAATGGTTAAAATTGGACGGATTGGTTTTGAAGTTATGGCGAAATCAAAATATTACGATTTCTACTGCACGGCCCCTTGCGAAGTGGGCGTAACCAAGGCGAGGGTGCGCGTGCGGGAGGGGAGTTTAGATCTATGAGTAAGGTACCAGCCGACCTCGCGGGCGAAGCCGCTGGCCGCTTATTTTTGTTGTTTTAAATTATTCAAACAAAATAACTGTGAAATCACTTTGAACAAAAAGTAAAAAGTTAAAGTTAAAAAAATAATGAAAAAGGGGCTTTCATTTAATTTTCTTTTGCATTTGTAGGTCCCTGCTAGTATATTTTCTCTATAAAAACCATATTTGTTTGTTATTTACAGATGATTCACATTCAATAATAAGTCCTAAAGTCCTAAAATAGTTTGTGTTGTTTTATAATTATCAAGGTATATTTATCAACATAATTATCGTTATAATTATACTTTTTACACCATCAAATGATTTGTCATATAAAGCTACCAAAAACATAAATATTAAGTTATTGATAGCCAAGTTAAATATGATATGATTGTTGGCTCCACAAACAAGAGTATTGATATTACTTCACATGCTTCGGCAAACAATGCATCACATTTAGTTTATTTACAATTTGCAAGTTATTGTATGAATTAAGACTATATTTTTTGTATAAGTAACCTAATTAAAAAAAAAAGAAATATAATACCTTCTCTTTAGCCAGATAGAGTTTCTGGACTGGTCCGAAACCTTTCACGAGATCTTCAAGGTCAGCCTCAACGGCAAAGTTACTGAGGTTAGATATACGTATAGCGGCGATGTCATCGCGACGCGCGCCTGGTGGCTCCCGGCTAGTACCACGTCCAGCGCCGCCTTCCCGCAAATATGGCGCCACATATTTGTTTGTGGTCGCAGTTTTTGCATCTGAAATTTTACTATTCCTGTACTATTTTACTAATTATAAACTTAACCCTTATGTAAATAAAATTAGTTTTATCGTAAACTTATCGCTTCTGTACGGGTAGCATTACGAACTCAAGAGCATTATGTCTACACCCAAATGTCTTTTCTCGGGTGCGCACATACGATATCTTACTATCAAGAGTGACATTTGTGGTGCAACAAATCTTTTCTTGAGCTTGTCAAAATATGCGTTTTGTTTTTGAAAAAAAAAGCGTTCAGAATTATGAACAAAATGCGCAAATTATAATAATAAAAAAACTACTAAAAATTTGAAAGCAAGAATGTCATAGATGTCACTAATATCACATTTGATGATGTTAAGATTCTGTTGGATTTTAAAATCTGGAAAACTGATAAACGTTTGCTCTTTGGAATTCATTCAATATTAGGTTTCGAATGTTGGTATTATAGATATCGATACTTTTGGATGTCGATATATCGATATATATAGGTTTTTCGATATATCGTTCATCCCTAGTTGCATGTAGCAAGTTACCATTTCCAACATATTTTTAGTGGTATAACTGTCAAGTAGCTATTTCTTGATATTAAATATCAAGTAATTGATGCTGTTTATCCATAATGTAAGCTCTAGCTCATTCAAAGGGAAACCTGTCACCACAGTGTTATTCTGCCAATGAAAACATTATTTAATATATTTAGCAAATTTCAAAACCATTACCTGTAGATTTGGCAGCTTCATTGGCTTTGGCCTGTGCCAATTCAGTATGTTGGAATGGACAGCTAAGAGTCCAGTGATCACCCTGACAAGTACGACACTTGAAGATCACACGACTTGTTGGTGGCTGTAAAGACATATTTTTTTCAGTCAGCAAATAAGAAATATTATTTTAGTTTGTGTTGTACATACTGAAGGTATGATAACACCCAGACCTGTGACAATTAAAAAAATGCCCATTTTTTACATAAACCTGACCAGGAATCAAACCAGGGACACCTTGCAACTATCATACATGTCACTCGGCCATTGAAGTTGTCAAAGATAAAGATATAATAGTAGATCTCCATCTGGAGGTCAGATTACATATTTAACTTTAGTTTAATACCACATTTTTTCTCTACGACTTATGAATAATAATTCGACAAATTATTAAAAATTTTTGTTACAATATTAAACTATCAACCCTGGGTTAATATCACAAAATTATTACAAAGTTATTATATTAAATCAGCAGTATCCAAAAAATTCAATTCTTAGAGATATATTCATAAAAATAGATATCAATCTATTTTTTTTTTACATTATGTTGGTGATAATTCATATGAAATCAATAATCTTCTCATTTGAGTAGTTATATATGACATAGTAAATTTATTTATGAACTAGTGGCCGCCAGCGACTTCGTCCGCATTTTCCATTATTTCTTTGCTCCTAATAGTTGCAGTGTGATGTTATATAGCCTAAAGCCTTCCCCGCTAAATGGTCTATTCAACACAAAAAGAATTTTTCAATTCGAACCAGTAAGTACCCGAGATTAGCATGTTCAAACAAAAAAACAAACAAGTATAGATTAATTAAAGGTCTACAATGTTTTAAAATACTTCTGATGTCATTTAGTGATGGATATAAAAGTAAGTAGGTAATTTATTATATAGAATAAAATATTTGGTTATATATAAAAATCATGATAGGTATATGCAGTGATAAAATATCAATATTTTCATAAAGATTGTCAATAATTAAAGATTAATAATCTGTTCAGTAGTTTGCCAGTAGTCTGACTTTAATGGGTATAATGACTGGGTAAAAAAAAGAAATTCTATTTAGTCCATTAGTCAAATAATAGTAAAATATTAGACACATTTTTTTTTTGCTTTATTCTAAACAAGAAATGTTTTAGATGATAGACATTAAATTCAGGGAGTGGGGACTTGCTGCATTAGTTTTGTAGAAAAAGTGCAAAAGCATGACATACGCGTTGTAAATGCAAAATTGATCAAATACAATAATTCAAACTATATGTTATAAGACAAATAGCTTACACTAAATCTGGTTATAACATTTATATCCCAAATATAAAAATTTTAAGCAAATATTTATAAATTGACTTTAGTGTAGTCACACTAGGAATTACCTTAAGGCCATCTAATTCTCCATCATCAGGACGTTGACTCTCTTCCTTACTTGAAATGAACTGCATGAAAACATCTTCAGATACATTAGTTGTAGCTGGATTAGGGCCTGGTTTGTCATTAGCTGAATCACCAAATTTACTCCAAGTCTTACGTTTAGCGATACTCTAGCAACAAACAAAGTATTATGTTAATATCATGGAAGATAACAGAATTTATTTAAATTATCAAATGCATCATGCATGAAATGAATAATATGAAACCAACCTTAGAAACAACACGTTTTTCAATTTTGTATGTGCGGACTATTTTAACCTTTTTGTTGTCATTATCGTATTTGTATTCAGTCACAATTTTCAGGCCATTCTCTACAACTTCTGAAGGTGGAGGTAGGGCACCCTGATCTATTTCCACTTCATCTGCCCAAGAAGATTGTATATCATCAGCAACAGGCATCTAATAATTAAGAAATTATATCGTTATAAAGAATTTATTCATATATAAAGTTGAACACATTTAATGAGTGTCCATAATAAAATATATAAACTTGGATGGGTAATAAGATGACACGGTAAGAAAGATTTAACCTCTAAGTAATGATTATATTAATTATATCATCATTAAATAACATTTCGATAGTAACCAAAATTAACCATATTACTCACGTTTCAATGTATGAAGCGGTTTTTCAATTATTTTTAATAATAAAATGTGTTATTTCAAAATCCAAGTTTTTGGAATATCTTGACGTAGAAAACCACGCACACTTAAAAAATAAAGTCGATAGAGATGTGAAAAACTAGGAACTGTTTAATAGAATAATCGTTTATTTTAAGAACCGATTTTGGATTTGGAATAGTCAATTATACAGAAATATTGTTCTAATTCCAATTTGTAAAATGTCAGTAATGAATTTCTAAAACGATACCGATGAAAGGTAATCTAATATTTCGCGTGGCAAATATACATACATTTAAAGTTTACTACAGCCACACCCTGAGCGGTATCAATCAGTCTTACTCTTAGCAGGGTGGTCGTGGTCAACACATTTGGAGCGGCTAATGTAGCTCGACTCACGACATTTCGCCATCTCTCCCTTTCTACAAAAAGTACACTAAGTCATTCTCTAGCCTTACCGTTGCTCCGTTTTGATGTGAAAGCCGGATAAACAAACACTCTTTCACATTTATAATAATATATTATATAGGAAAGATATGCATGGATATAATCTTTATGGTCGGAATCGCGACTAAAACATGCAATTGAAGTTTTCTTTTAAATGGTTTGGTTTAATAGTCAAAAAAGTAACTAGGTACCTATGCAGTGTAATGTTAGAGTTGGTTAATTTGATCAAACTGAAAATAACTTAAGTTTATTAATCAAACTAGCATTCCGCTAGCAGCTTCTTCTTCGTCTGCTTGTTCTGCGTGGTCCTGTATTATACATAAAACCTTTCTTTTGAATTACTTTTTCTATTAATAACTGCATCAAAATCCGTTGCGTAGTTTTAAAGATCTAAGCATACTTAGGGATGGGTAGACGGAAAGCTACTTTGTTTAATACTACGTATTGATATGTTAAAATATAACAAACTTAATAAAAAAATCATCTCTCAATCTCAACTTCAAAGTGACCTTATAATGTAGTAAACATATTTTTTTTTAAAGTGACCGCAACGGTACAATGAGGAAGTATTTAAAAAAATATTAGTTCCCGAAATCCAACTAGATGTGGCTACGGTACTTTTTTGAATTCTCCATGACAACCCTTCCGGTTTTCTTTAGAATAAAATATTTTTTCGTATTTGTATTGATAACTAAGTTTCGAACTTTGCAAATTTCAAAGAGGAGGTTCGGAAGGGAAAGCATTTTTTTGGGTAAGGAGGGGTTGTAGGTAGAAAAAAGATGGAATAGAGGAGCGTAAGTGTATGTAAGTCTCTGCGCCGGCGAATAGGGAGCCTGTTTAGTTTGAAGCGGAAGTGTGACACATAGTCATGTTTGCGAAGGTTGAAGATGAATCGCATACCCAAGTTCTGCAGACGCTCCAGCTTGTTAAGAAGCTCTTCCAACAAATCAGTATAACAAACATTAGCGTTGTTAAGGATTGAAAGCAAGAGGGTATAAGCCAGGGAGGTTTTCGTGTCTGTAAAAGTATAAAGTTGTGAGGACGGTTGAGTGTGCCATACGCGACAAACATTCGCTTCCTGAGCGATTCTAGATGAGACTTCCAAGAAAGGCACTAGTCAAAAACCACACCGAGGTTTTTGACAGATTTTGTTCAAAATCGATCCTCGAAACGAAATGAGGACTGCCAATTATTATTGTTTGAGTCTTCGAAGGGTTGACAATAAGACCAAATAATTTACTCCAATTAGAAAATTTAACACATTAACGACTATTGAGAGGAAAGGAAGAATAGATATAGGGCGATATTCGGAAAACGTGCTTGGATTTGTTTTTTTTTTGGGATGGTGATAATATTGGCATCTTTCCAGGATGCAAGGAAACCTTGACCAATGGAGATCAATGTATTTAGGATAAAGGTAATAATAGGAATAAGGATATTTATAATGGGAAGGATCATCTTGCGACTGATAGAATCACTAACTACAGCACTGGAACTGATAGACAGAATAGTTCTCCTAACATCACAGTCAGTCAACTGGCGAATGAAAGAAAAAGAAATCAGGTGTAGGCAGATTAGAGAAACTATGTAAAGTTTCAGCTTTGCAAGTGCCATCAATAGGAATAGACGAAGAGAAAAAGCTATTTAGTTTATTGATATCAACGTTATGGTTAAGACTGGGATCACGAGATTTGCCAACATCCAGTGATTTTAAAAATTTCCAGGTTTTAGCCGAATCTTGATTTTCAATGGAATTAGTAATATGGCGTCTCTGGGCATCCCTGGCCACCATATTACACCGATTTCTGATGCTGTTATATTTCATTTCAATTCGTTTCGAAGGACCTGTTAACCATGGAGCTGGAAGGTATCTTATTTTTATAGGACGAACCGGAGCATTAACCTCATATAATGAAGATAACACATTATTAAAGTGCTCAACCTGTTTGTCAACTGAGTTTGTGGGTAAGATAGCTAATGAGTCCGTATTTGAAGCGTCCTCCAGGAAGCGGACCACATCAATAGCTGCAAAAATACGCTGAAGTTGTATCAGGAGACGAATCCGATATTGCAGATTCACTTAGTCATAATAAGAGAATGCATCTGCAGAATATTGGCCATGCTTTATAGCGAGGGTGGGTGAGGAAACAATTTATTAAATCAAGATGAGGAAGAGTGCAGTTGGGAAAATGATGGGTTTCCTTGAGAGAAAGAATATCTAAATTTGAGGAATCAACTAATGAAAGTAGTTTCTGAGACCTGATATCGTCTTTAATGAAACATGTGTTGATGTTTACAGATGTGGCGACTGATACATAGCGACATCTAACTCATCGTACTAACATCGCCACAACAATCGATAGCGAGAAAACTAGCATCGTCACAGCCATTGATAGCAAGACGAATTGCAAAAACCTGCAAATAGTTCCAACACCCAGTAACGAGATGGCGCTGTACCAATACAAATATCATAAATTAATAACTACAAGGCAATTAGAACAAAGAAACCTACATCGCTCACAGTAAGTTCAATTAGCATAAATAGAACGTCCAACCTACATCGGTTGAACCGCGGTCCCTGGGCTAAATACACCTAGCTCGGAGGGAGACAATTGTCCTTTAGTTTCTCTGGCCAGTTTTCTCCATCACCACAGTAGGGACCACACATCCAACCTTAAGGTTCCTAAACAGATGATGTTCGAATGTCTCAAAGTAATCAACTCAAAGAGAAGGGCTATAGAAAACACCCAGTAGAACTTTGATATGGGAGAGTGATATCTCGAGAAAAAGATGCTCAGCGCTGTTTTGGGCGGTGATTGTGGAGATTTATTAAGAATAGAAAATGGAATATGTGAACGAAGGTAAATTGCCACCCCGACATGAGAAGAACTTACACAATCATTACGGATAAGTTGAAAGTCAGGAAGACAGTAGGAGGTAGAACTAAGACAAAGATTTAAAAATGTTTCTGAGACTAAGATAACATGGATAATTTTGATATCAAAAGATGAAAGCATATCCGGGAAGTGTACAGGGATACTTTGAGCATTCATATGCACAACGTGAAAGTTTTTAGGTACATCGTAGAATGTAACATTCAAAATCTTGAGAAGACGAACACGATTGGAAAAGATCATAGAGATATATCCATAACACCTATACTGAGATAGAAAATATCTTATTTAATATAGTAAAATATATATATATATGAAAACAAATAAATAACCACATTGGGATTCTAATCACTAAATAATTTTCAATTGGTTTTGTACCAAAAAAAAAAATAAAATAAAATCATATTTGCAAGGAATCTGTCATATCCAAAAACCTGTATTTTATTTTTTTTCTCCATAGAACCAAATCAAAAAGTTACCCCTAAAATTCTCGATTTACTCCATTTCTTAATAAAATTATTTTTTATTGGTAAAATTGAATCGATTTTAACCGATTATCAGATATAATCACCCGATTATTAGATATTAGCTCGACATCCTTGTTGCTAGTTAGGTTTTGACAGTTGGTGAATAGACGACGGCTGTGTTGTGTGGTAATTTATAGAAATGTGGGACAAACTAGTTTTTTGGGGCGGTTTTGATATTTAGATTGTCTACTGTAGTGTTTCAATTGAAGGCATTCTAAGTGTAAAGTGAATTACGAGGAGACTACATTGTCTGTGTAAGTGCATAAGTTTAAATCATGTTTTAAATTTAATGTAAGTTGTTGTATCTTTAGATCGAATAGTGAACGGAAACTTTTTATTTTCTTAATATTTTATTCTATTCTTTTCATACAAACAAAACAACATTTAATCAGTTTCCACTTTTGCATATTTAGGCACTGTTGGAGTTACTTATGTACCAATACTATTTACCATTAAAGTGTTTGGTGCAAGGAAATATTTAAATGTTTTCTATTGAATTGAGTTCGAAAGTACAAAACATATTGACACATGAGTTATGGAATTCTTGCCTTGCTTTTTGATGAGTAGTGTTAATTTTTTAACAGGTCTCATATGCAGTGACAGTGTTTCTTGTATATATTCCTGTGTTATTATTACATATTGGTATATTGTTTGTTATACTGTTAGTAGTTGATATGAATGTGTGGCAAGTATTGTAGTCCAGAAGATGCTCTATGTAAATTCCTATAGCCCTTAATAATATGTAATGAATAATTTTTTGTGCTGGTATTATGTTAGTCATATAACTTTTTGATTGAAAGTTTAACATAAAATTATTTTGATTAGATATTATTTTAAGTACAATAAAAGCTTTTATTTTCATAATCTCAGAAAGAATGTAACCTAATTTCTTTACACATTTAAAAATATCTTTATTCAAGGATGTAATTGGTGACACAAAAGGTCAGCCAGAATTAGGGTCATAGGGATGCCCGATACGATACGATATATCGGAATATCGATACAGGAGCATACGATATATCGATATATGATATGATATTTTAGCCATACGATTCGTTGCGATATATCGCATTCTCACTACAATATCGTATCGACGTATCGCATTAGACTGAGACATTTTGTTTACAATAAAATTAATGAGGATCCCATTACTTAACGGCTTCGTCTCATATCATTTTAAGGCGATGAATACTTTGTTATAGCTTATAAGTAATTATTTAACATGTAATAGAATACTAGGAGATGATATGAGCCAACTTTTATTTATATTTTGTAGGTAGATTAGGATTACTTGAGATTTTTGTAGTTAGGTACCGACAATATATTGTTTGAATATAAAGTTCATTGCTTGTCTAATGTGAACCCAGAGAAGGCATGGATGATATTTTGTAACAATGTATGAGAGAACCTCTTAAAGAGAGGAAAGAAAACCCTGTATTATATTGGGCAGCAAGAAAGAATATTTGGCCTGATCTCAGTGATTTGGCGCTGCGTTATTTATCTGTTGTGGCTACTTCTGTTCCTTTCGAACGTTTATTTCTTTAGCTGGGTCCACACTTTCAGAAACCCGTAATCGATTAGATCCAAAACGCCTTTCTAGACTGCTATTTTTACGCAGATTAAGTGCAGAGCAATGGTAACTGTGAATAATAAAAAGTTTGTTTTTATTTAGAGTTCTGCAATAATTTGCAAAGTTTGTTTTTGTTATGCTAATAATTATGGTTAGAGTTTGACTTTGTCACTAAAAAGCGAAATACTTACCTCATTTTATATGAAATATCGAAAATATCGTATGTATCGTTACAAAAGGATACGATAATATCGTGTATCGATACAAACACATGCGATACATTACGATACGATATATCGATACAAATTGTTTTTTTTGGGCATCCCTATAGGGTCATGAGTGTTTTTATTAAAAATATTTTTTATTTGTTTGTATTTCACTTTTTGTTCAATATGATTTCACAGATAAAACAACAAAAATAAAAGTATTCCAATATGAAGGCATTTTGTATTTTAAAAATTTTTGCCAGTCGCTACAGATAATTATCAGAGATATATTATTATCATAATAGTTATCAAAAATAGTATATTTCATTACAAGTGTGGAAAGGCTGTCATTGCAACGGGTTCCGATAAATGTCTACCCGAGCCTAAGCGCAGCCGAAGGCGAGGATTGACAGTCGGAACGAGTTGCAATGACGGTTCCGCATGTGTACTGAGTGACTATTTTTAATGCAGTTGCGAAAAAATGAAGCAATTTCATAAAATAATAAAAACAAAATAAACTCAACTAACTAATCATTTATTTTTTTAAAGTTATAATTCACATATACTTTGAAATTGGTACAGTTTTTTATACTAACAGGGGAAGTTTTAGGTTGCACATTTACTGTTTGAGGTAAACTATTATTAATTTCATATGATTGTTCATGTATATTTGTCATACAATGCGTTTGCTAATTGATGGAACTGGATCTGATGAATTATCATTATCAACGTCGATAGATGGACGAATGTTTTCTTCAACGTATGAAGGATACAGATAGGACTTTAAATTAATGGATTGTGTGATTTTTTCCCAGTTTCTAGTTTGTTGTTAAATGAATCACCAATATAGCTTTTCGTAACAAACACCAAACAAACAAATTTTGTCTAACAAACAACTAAACTCGCAAATAAAATTACTGGAAAATGGCGCCATTTTTTCTTCACCCATCTTAGTAGGCAAAGGGACTATGCCCATATATACATACCCTTCAGTAGATTCTTTTTTATTGATATGAAATTAAAATGAAATTTATTGAGATAAAATGAAATGAAACCTAACCTCACTAATACAATCAAATCATTAAATTTGATATTGATACAAATTTATAGCTTTTTTTTTAGAAAATACCTACGCTACGTATTTACATGAATCATAAAAACTTCTTTGATTTTCTTTTAGTAAAAACTTCATGGTTGGTTTTTCTTATAAATAGACATTATTTTGACAGTTGGGAAAGAGAACGCACAAGTGCGGGTAAGGTAAAAAAAAGCACGAGTGTGTAATAGCCCACATCCCGAACGCTATATGTGCCTGCAATACGCCACTTTTTGAGCAACTGTATTAAAAAAATATTATCTTGATCATTATGAACCCTAGCCAGAATCCTTTATTTATCGTGGCATGTGTCAGCCTTTCTAAAAGATGTACACATGGCTCCATGTCAGATTACCACAATGTGACAAATTTTAACTTATTAACTTATTTTTTATTTCAGGTACTCCTAGAAGTCTCAAAATGTTGCGCTTCCTTAGCAGAAGGGGGCGCTCCTCTAGCCAAAACCGCAACAAACAGGGGACCAAGGCATCAGTCAATAAGAATTTTATCCAATGCAAGGTAATGTTACTTGATGAAACTGATTTATCAATTAATTTGTCTAAGAAAGCAAGTGCAGCTGACCTATATGAACAAGTGTTTTATTCACTGGATTTAATAGAGAAAGATTATTTTGGTCTTCAATTTACTGACACTAACAATGTAAAGCATTGGCTTGATCCTACAAAAACTATAAAAAAGCAGGTAAAAATTGGTCCTCCTTATACGTTGAGGTTGAAAGTAAAATTTTATTCATCAGAACCGAATAATCTACGAGAAGAGTTAACGCGATACCAGTTTTTTTTGCAATTGAAGAAAGATATTTTAGAAAGCAAACTCGAATGCCCACATTCAACAGCTGTAGAATTGGCAGCTCTGGCACTTCAATCGGAATTAGGAGACTTTGATGAACTTATTCATACACCAGCCACTGTATCTGAATTTCGATTTGTGCCTAATCAAACAGAGGAAATGGAAATTGAGATTCTAGAGGAATATAAGAAATGCAAAGGCTTAACACCAGCTCAGGCTGAAGTAAATTATCTGAATAAGGCTAAATGGCTTGAAATGTATGGTGTTGATATGCACATAGTCTTGGGCAAAGATGGGTGTGAATATCATCTTGGATTAACACCTACAGGAATTTTAGTATTTGAAGGACCACAAAAAATAGGACTCTTTTTCTGGCCCAAAATTAGTAAACTAGATTTTAAAAAGAAGAAGTTGACATTAGTTGTAGTTGAAGATGATGACCAAGGACGGGAACAAGAACATACATTTGTATTTCGACTACACAATGAAAAAGCCTGTAAGCACTTGTGGAAATGCGCTGTTGAACATCATACATTCTTCCGTTTAAGAGCTCCAGTCAAAGGTCCATCGGCCAGACAAAACTTTTTCCGAATGGGTTCGAGGTTTCAATACTCAGGCAAAACAGAGTATCAAACTACACAACAAAACCGAGCCCGTCGTACTGTTCAATTTGAAAGACGACCTAGTCAACGATTTGCTCGTCGACAAAGTCATGTGTTGAGAGAACGTGAAAAACAAAATAGTGCTTCAAAACCTGACACTGTAGCTTCCACTGAAGCAACTTTGGAAACACCAACTACATCGGCCGATGCTGCATTGCTTGTACCAGAAGTTGAAACCTTATCTAGGAAAAGCAGTGCTAAATCACAAAAATCGATTGTCGTCGAAAATGACACTAAAACGAACGAAATTAATAAGTCTACAAAGAATCTTCTTCTCGATGATACAGTTGAAGATGTACATACATCTAAGGAGGACGCCGTAAGCAACAAAGTGCTTTTCAAAGTCGAGAAGCCTGTAATTGAAGAGAAAAGAAACAATTTAACTCAACTTGTTATTAATAAACCGCCTTGTAATTGTTCGCCTGTCACAGATTCGAATCCGTTAAATGATCTTCTCATGAGTCTAGTAAAAGAAAAGTTAAATAACGATGACTCTAAAAATGAAGTAAAGAAAGATCAATTAGATTCCGTAAATGACAAAGAATTGCCTAACAACCAAACCAAATACTTTGTATCCACAAAGGCATTTCCTCCTGGTCAATTGAAATGCAATAATATTTTGAAAGCTCGCGAGAGTGAAGTAAAGATAGTAAATGAATCTCCGAATATTAATGTGTCCTTACCATCTACACCTTCGCCGAAAATATTAAATGAGCCGCAGTTAGCGGGTGCATCTAACTCTCAGTATGTGTCCATAGTTGTTGTCGAACCACCTCACTCTCAAGCAAAGTTAGCTTCTCCAAAACCTGTGGAACGCAAGGAGGAAGTGGTTCCGAAGACTCAACCCATATCGTCTCTGTCGCCGTGGCTGGTTACATCAGAACCAAGTTCTCCTTCAGGTATTGGTGAAAAGGATATAACCATCATCCATCGAAAGTCAGTTATAACCACTCAACTTTGAGATATATTTTATACTTTTAAAATACTTTTATGTAATTCGTTAGCGATTTTTCTTTATTTTATATGACTTATTTTCAATAACATTAGCGTAACATAATATCACATATTTTTTAGAGAGATTGCTTTGGTATCTAGAGAGATTACGTATTAGGTACCTTAAAAATTTGCGTGATGCGGTAGTCTTATTATACCGACCATGGTTGGCTGAATAATACTTTCAAACAAGTGCCTTAATAAGGAGTTTTTTTAAATATAAAATCAAAAATTTATGATGCAACTATTATTTGATAAATCAATTTTCCTTTGAGGGTGCTCTGAAATTATTACTTGTAATTTCAGTTCTACTTTTTCGTCCACATTTATATAATAATTATTTTAAATTATTTTGCTCTCTGCTTATTTTTAATCATTTCGCTTATAAGTTTCGAAAGAAACCATAAGTGAGATGTTTATTTTATATAAATATTTATTATTGGAAATTACTTGTAATATATATGTTATAATAAACTTACTAGTATAGGTACAAATAATGCAATAACGTAATGTATATTGCCCTTATTTCAATAATGATTTATTTTTTATTATAAATGTACTTAAATTGGGGATTGGATAGCATTTGGTTAACAAGTCATACACTATTTTGTCGAATATATTTTTTTATCTCACTAATGACGTCACATCCGAGCTCCCGCAACGCTGTTTGTCGTTTTTTAAACGTTACATTTAGAGTCATCTTCATCACCAGCTAATTAATATCCCCACTGCTGGGGCTTAGGCCTTCCTTATGGATGGAATCGAATTTAATAGGGATAGAAATAGTTCGTCCATATCGATTAATATAAAATAGTTTTTCTAAAGTTGTCCGATCCTCAGTTGTATCTTGATATATTAAAAGTTTTAATTATGAATGTTATTCCGTCCTATATTCTAATATATACATTCCGTACATGGGCGTACCCAGGTATTCAAAATCGAGCAGAGAAGCTGTTCTCCTTTGTACCCTCTCGGTACGCCCATAATTCTGTAACATGCACCTTTAAAAACAAAGGTTTTTTAAACATGCATGTTATAGATATGACATCTAAAATCGTCTCAATCAATGACGGCTTTGTTTACATAATTTTAGTTGATATTATTATATATTTAACTGCTGTACAACAAGTCGAATATAAACCTAATATTTTTAAACTGGTAATTGATTAGTCTGTCGCCATTGTGATGATTATTAAATACGATGTTATTAAAGTAAATAGGTAATTTTATTACCTACTTATGTTTTAATGGGGTCAAATTATGTACTTAAATGGATGATTTTTGTCATCATAATCGAATATATAATACAAAATCATAGATATGTCGTTTTAGTGACAAGAATGTTATAGTAAGAAGAATTATTAAATTTATAATTTAATGTCAATGACTCCATAATAATTAGGAATGGCATAGAATTGTAATTGACCTAATAAATCGCACTCTTACTTAAAAAAACCGGTGTCATTTCAGGAATTGACAAAATAGTTTGTACAATATACATTCCAGTCAAATAGCGATTTGTGGACGTCGTATTACTTTACCTGGGGTGCGATCACCTAACTGGCCATAACTCTAGCCATAGGATATGACATCTTAACGAATATTTTACTGTTTTGACATGTCTTTTGGTGTATTAATTATGAATTAATTACTAAGAAGGAAACGCTTCTGTTAAATCCATTCTGTTCATTGTTTTTATCATTCGTTCGTCGTTATTAAAGTAGTAAAATGAAACGAAATAGCGCTATTGCATCGCTAAGATATCGTGTCTTGTGGATAGAGTTATAGATTGTGGAGTTAGGCGATCTTCTTTTCCTTCTTCTTTTTAATTATTTGCGTTGCCCTTGTGGATTTCACTTGTGGATTATGAAACCAGTGTTTCGTTCAGTTTATTTTATAATTTATAGACTGTGGTCGTCCTGCTGATTACGTATGATGATTACACACGCGCGACCTAAATGAAATTGTTGTCATAGTTTTGACTATGACAACAATTCATTTAGGTTTCATTAATCTGATATTAAATATATAATTAATTAATTAATAAAATAAATATGAAATCATATTACTAAATACGGATTTATGAAAAATTTTATTGAATGCTGAATATAGATATAAACGTTTCAACTTAAAAACCCTTTTATTAATTCTTTTAATGCTCAATAGACCTCCATATTGAAGTAATAAATTTATATTTATAATTTAAAAAATAAATATTGTCAAATTGCCAATTACGCCGTCTTCTTACCTTAGGTATCAACTTTCGGTTCCATCGCGTTTATTTAATAAATACACATTTTTAATTTTATACTGACATTCATAAATTAAGTAAATTGACGTTCGTAGTTTAAGTACAAGAATCAAGCAGTATTACGAAACATAACTCAATATACAGGGTGCCATAAAAACGTGGAAATTACATAATATTATAACAGTAATGAATTTTAAACAATATATTTAATGAATTGTGCCAACATATTATGCCTTTTTGGTTTGATATCTATGTAATGTATTTAGGCTAAGCTTAAGGTGCTTGGGAACAATGGGAACAATTTTTAGTCAATGTTTTATTAGTTAATAGGTATATTTTTAATTAGTTTATAAGAATATATGACTGTCGGTGTCAACTTATTACATATTTTCGGGAAGACTATTTCCAAATTAAATTATATTAATGTCATATTATTTTAAAGTTACATGTAAGTAATAAAATTTAGGTATGTTAAAAATCTATATTATCTCAAATAGTACTTATCTTGTGGTCAACGTACTTAAGTCTCTTATAAATTCTTTATTAGATGATTTATTATACTTTATTTTATACAAGTACATTTTACTTAATTATGATGAATATTAAATGAAGTATGTTTTTTTTTACATTTTAAGATTTATTTCGTTTTTTAATTGTCAAAACATTATAATCATTTGCACATGCTGTAAAAATCGTATAAAATTGTTTCGTACTTTAAATTAAAGTTATAACTTCAGAGTCCTAGTTCATTCTTTACAAAAATAAATTTGTATTCAATATTTATTGTAATGAAATAATACTGCTGAATAATAAACGTTATAATTATAATTTGTTGGTTTGATTTATCTAATTTACCTGGTTAAGTTGACAAATGTCGCGAAATTCCATGAATAACTGATTGTACAAATGACCGATTCCCCAATTGAACCTAGGATTAACTTTGATTACTTTATCAACCGCAGAATCAAAGAGTAAATTATATAATTATGGCAACTGTGCTCTTTGCAACCGCGTTTTACCTTAGATTTTTACTCGTGTCGTGGTAATAAAATTAAATCAATTTGTAATCGTATTGAACTATTACATTGTTTTCTTTATTTCCAACAATATGTCTTCTGATAAATCTCAATCAGAAGCGGAGAACATGTTATCTTTCAAACGGTATTTTATCAATAATTTGGATTCGTATCATGGCGAATACGTTTTGAGAGAATTATCTAAAGTGCTTGAAAAGAATGCTGAATTATCAACGAAACCGACATCTATTACTATCTTAGCGGAAGATGCCGAACCAACCGCACCACGCCCACCGGAGCAGCTTTATGAAATTATAGGTAGTTATTGTTTTGAAATACAATTTTAGCATTACAAGTTCAAGTCGGGTAGTTTTTGAGCGCGTGCTTTTATAGTCGATAGCTTTGATTGTAGACTTGTCTACATAACGGGCTAGGTTTGAAATCATCGTGTGCTTGAAGTAGAGCATTAGTGTGTTGGATCTGGTTAATAATATCACTTCCCCGAATATTTCCCACAAAAGTAGGATTGTAGTGTAGGAGTGTGAATGTATTTTTAATGGATCAATAATTTATTGTCCGTCAGTTGCACAACCATTCATTAAGGTTTAATGACGCCTTTAAGTTCTAATGAATGACAAATTTGGATGGGGAATGTCGCTTTAAACTAATAAGTTAATGACTTTAAATTTTAAACTAACGTTTGCACAACTGGCTATATAATTCATTATATTGTGAAAGTAATGAAATAAAATAATAAAACAGTATTTGTGGGAAATATTCTATCTTTTTAATCTTTTATCCCTAGATTATTTCAAAGAAGTTTATCTAAAATAATATAATTTTGCGTCATCAACATAATGAGTGAATGAAAAAGTCCTTTAAATAAGCTTATTGCAATCATTTTTGAATCGTCCAGTTATTATTTATATATACCTATAATCTTTTGACTGACTATACCAGCTCTTAACAGAAGTAAAGATATTTACATAGAATATATCACTACTAAAGTAATTTGTTTTACAATAGTAAAAAAAAAGAATGTTGGTCAGTGTGTGACAAAACGAACGATTTTAAACGACTTCAAAAAGGAGAAGGTTCTGTTAAGCCTATACATCGCGGTTTTTAAAAGATTATTAGAATATTATTTATTATGTTCTTTTCACAGCTTTAGCTGGTTATTATTAACCTTAGAATGTGAACAATATGTGTGATATTATGTAATATTAATTTATTAACACTATTAAACTAAAATATTCCATAGATAGAGTATATTATTTATGATAATTCTTCAAACAGTAGGTATATGTAAGTAATAGATCTGCCAATTAGCATGTTTACTACGTCATGTTTACTTTCGTATCTTCAGGTATTGAATACTCTATACAAATTGTGAAATCTGTAAAAAAAGTAAGAAAAACTTAAAATTACACCGGCTTCCTTTAAGAAAACTTATCACATTTATAAATAATTTATTTTATACCATAAAATATAAAAATAATAATAAATTAAAACAAAAGTATGAGGCGTTTTTATAATAGTCTATGTATGTATCTATAATTCAAGAATTGGTAACCCCGTATACAAAATGTCAAAATTTTTATATATTAATTCATCTATATACACGTCGAAGTTTACGTACCGATGGTACGTAATATTTTTGAGTGATTCCATTCTTTGTTTGTAATTCCTGGACACTTTAAACGCACATTTCACGCACTTTGCAAATTTTCAAATGTGACAAAATTCATTTTTTTTTCTCACAGTGACAATCAGTTTTGATACTGAGCGAGTGTTTTGATAGTTTTCGTACAGGGTGACGAGTCACACGATTTTATTTATGGGTTAGGGGCGCTCTGATACTATATCTAGACAAGTATATAATCAAAAAAGTTGATAGTAAATACGTTACAATTCGTCTTTATCTAACCGTCATTAAAGTTCGTTTCTCTGTCAATTAATTTAGTTTCCTCAGCGGCTCTACCGACAACAACTTCGACAAAACCCTAAGAAATGAGATATAAATTTTACACCAACTTATTTGGACGTTCATAATCAGTTGAAAGTCAGTTTAGCACACGCCATTGTATATTTAATATTGCCTTATTTTAATAATAAACGTTCTATGTTCCGTTGTTTATACTTATTCCTTTTATAATCTTTTTGAAGGTACTGTGTCTGATTCAAAAGTCAAGACCATTGATAATGTTGCCAGAATCATAACTAAATCAGAATGCTTGCCAAATATGTTAACTTGTGGCACAGTCGTGTTCGACATTAGTTACGACAGAGAAGAACTTCAAATCGCTATGGATTATCTCAAGCGTTAGTCTAACACAATGCTGTATTGATATTTACCCATCTTTAGAAAATAGCTTAATAAATGCAACCATGTCTCGCAACCTTTCGGTACTACCGAGATTTCTGATTTACTCAAAACTATCGATTAGATTAATAAGCAAAATGAAGCCTTGATAGATCTGTCAAATGACACATCCATTGTCAGCATACTAATCAAGATTGGTCTGTCCAATTCTAGACGAATCCTGATTGCTCTGCTAACAGTTGATCGTCAGCCTGATAGATAGATATTCGGGCTCCAGATGGCATTGGTACGACTGCCTAACTTTAGTCATTTCTGGGTAAATCCATGTAGAAAGAAATTGGTAGTTCAAAATTCAAATGTAGTTGGATTTATGAACACTTTACTACGTGAAGTTGGCAGAATTGTGGTTGATGTATAGTAGCCATTATAAGATAAGAAGAAAACTAGCTATAGGATATAATATGAAATATTAGTGATATTACGGAGAGATTTCGTTTTCATTTTTACTATTTTGACATGATGTTTCCTAACGACGAACGAATGGTAAAGAATCTTAAAGAGCTTTGGCTAATTTTGAATTGAATTGTTGTTTGATACATTTTAAAGAAATTCTTCTTTTTGTTAGTTTTAAAGGAGTTGTTAGAGAAACAATCCGTTGCTGGAGCAAACACTGCCGATTTCGGTGATGGGGACGGCGAATCAAAAAAGCGATATTTGATATTGATATCAACAGTTATGACTTGGGCTAGCACTAAGCCACTTGATCCGGTAATTATCGTTATATTTAATACAATTCTTTTCATTATTTGTCGCGAGTTTATTCGGATTTATCATAGTTTAGGATCTCTTTAAATATACGCGGACAAAGTTCCTGATAAAGTAAATAAATCTTTCACTTCTGTTACAATAGTATATTGCACCAAAACTATAACCTCAGAGATGCAAAATACACGAGGAATATTATATTGGGTGTCTAGGGAAAATCTCTTCTAGACATACGTACTTAAGTACGTATATGTCTTTTTTTTAAAGTTAGCTCTCCCCATTGTATGTTTAGTAAGTCTCCTTAATATATTTATGTCGGGAACGGGGCTTTCATCAGGCTTTAGTAATGTCATAATTTTATTTCAATACTCCTTTCCCAATTTGGTTGTTAGGACGATATTTTTTCTTTGTATGACGATCAAACAAGAATTACGTAGGTAGGTCATTGGCGTAGGGTGTCATAAACGGTTTAGGAAAATTAAGACAAATGATTCAAATCAAATTTAATATTATTTATTTGGTTAATACGGGTGGTATCGCCGCGTCGCATGCAAAATTATCAGTTGTTTTTAAGTACCTAGAACATAGGTAATAGTTTGAACTGACCATACGTATAAATGGAAAACTGTCTATCTCACATACAGGACACCCCTGATTTGCCATTCATAGAAACTGATTTTCGGAAAAGAAAGCCCCATCCTAATTATAAGATACACTATGACATTGAAAATGAAGTCGTTGGAATAGCCCGAAAATATAAAACGCAGATAGGGTAAGTAATTCTATTAGAACTAAACATTAACTCTTAGTTATGTTTCTACGATATGTATCCATAAATATTAAACATTGTAAATATAATAGCAAATACTAATTTTTAAAATCTCGAATAAATATATAGGGAAGTCCGGAGACTTGATAAGGTAGAAGTAATTTTCGATAATACATAAATGTGTTTATATAATATATATAAATGTGTTTTGTTAAATGATCTTTTTTTAGACATTTTTTCAGAAAACAAAACAGAGCGCACTACAATCTGACAGCAACCCTAATAGCGTGAATTTTAACGAATTTACTTGTGTTAGGATCATGTCTCCTACCTGATAAAATCTCCCGAAATCCCATAAATGCTAAACTTTTTACTTCAAACAGTTTTCAAATATGGTGACTTTAGTGGTCCTACTACCTAACTCAAGCGATTGAGCTCTGCATACTATTCTATATAAGAATTATGATTTAAAATATGAGTATTGAAAAAAAAAATTGAGTCGTGTACCTAATCAGTTTTTTATACTTTCCACCCTATTCAATGCCATTCACATACAATAGTACGTAGGTGTGTTGTTATTATAACTATATATGAAGATTATCATCGTAGGGCTTTAGTAGTCACAACTGGCGTGACTTACGGTGGAAGCGAAGACGTACTTTTTTATTGGTTCCAAAAGGCATGGGAATGTGAAAAATTGCTTCCTATTCTTGGTCGTGGTGGTAACGTGGTACCGCTTATCAATGTCCTTGATCTTGCTCAGTAAGTCATCGATAATTCATCATATTTTTTAATGTTATAAAGAGGAAAGATTTGTTTGATTGAATCGCATAGGCTCCGAAACTACTGAACGGATTTAAAGATTCTTTCACATACGGGAAGCTGCATCCATCACACATAGGTGACATAGGCTAAAACTAACGCGGGCGAAGTCGCTATAAAACAGCTAGATAGTTAATAATATAGAGAAAACTTCTTAGCAGATAATCATTATCACAGACTACTAATGTCCCAAGGCATGACCTATAGATGGAATGGAATCAACTCGATTGAAGACAATGGACCATGGACCATTACGCTGGCCCAGTGCGGGTTGTTGAGTCTTAATGACTGCAGATGTAACCAGGACCAACGTCTTAACGCACTTTATAAAGCCCGCAGGAGCTCTAGATTATAAATTTTGGTCACCCATCCTATGACCGGCCTTTGCGAAAGTTGCTTAACTTGTACATAGCAGATCAAACCTACTGCGTCAACAAGCTATACAATATATAGTAACTACAGACATAAATTATTAGTCAATTTTTATAGATAATCGGCGGATATACTTAGTTACTTTACGTGTATATGCTTATTACTTAATTATAGTAATTTATCTTAATTATTTTACTAGGTAATTACATTTCAGGATAATTTATAATTTGATAACGGATTTTCCAAAAAAGTTATATGTCCTGGCGGTGGAACAGAATATTGTAAAGCAACGAGAGGTACTATTCTCGTGTTTAGTTTGTGGTTTACGATAACGTTATCATTTGTGAGTCAATTGTATTGTGTTCTGTTTCAGATAGTGAAACCACTAGGTCGCACTGCTGGTTCTGGAATGTTTAAATGTATAACAAAAGAAGATGCCTTCTTGATACCTGAGATTAATGTAAATATAATTAGGATAGTAGGGCAAGTGACCCAGTTTTCGTCATTTTAAGATTATGACCTGCAGAGCGACTGCCAAACTTTTCTAGCTATAACTCTATCCATAGGATAGGACTTTTCTTTTTACTTCTTTGACATGTACTTTAGTAACGCAGAACGGTAAAGAATGATGAATATGAATTTGACTGCAGTATTTCCAATTTAGTAATTTATCCGTCAAAAGACATGTCAAAAAACATGCCAATCATAATATTCGCTAAGATATCGTTTCATATGGCTTGAAAATTAGGCAGTCGCAGCCCTGTTTTGGTCATGTCAAGAGAAAACTATTAAATTAAATCATTTATTTGCTTTAAATACGGTTGCAGTGATACGATTTTGCGGATAGTCTCGCAAGTCAATAAACTTATACCTATTAAGCTACATTAAACATCTTGTAATATAATTAATGTGCCTTGAGTCTAAAATGCTCTTAAACGCTATGATGCATAAGTTCATAAACCAAAGAGTAAAATAATTCATAAACAAAGAGAAAAATAATATACCACAAATAAACTATGCTAGCTGATACTCATACATAACAAATAAGAATCATAATTATTGTCTAAACTTAAAAACACTTTGCATCTCGAATCAGAATAATATTTCACGTCGAGAATTTTTATTCGTAGATAGGTGGTATCATTTTGGTATTGCGCTGTATATTGTTTTAAAGCCTTTAATTACCCGTTATAGCAACACTCTTTTCTTAACCATATTATATAGTATTCTTCGGTATGCCTCTCTTACTTTCCCGTCTACATTCTTGCTCAAATATAACCCTTTATGTTATACAGACTGTCTCTTCCCATCACATTTTCTTAGTAAGACTTTTTATTATTTATAGCAAAGAATTTATGATTTGATGACCGTGAATTTAAACATGGAGCCGACGTTCATTGTTGAGACAATGGCTTTGCAGTGGACATCCGAGTTGACTTTCGCGGAAAACGTTCCTGCCCTTATGAAACAATTCAAAAAAGAAAGAGGATTGAAACCTTTTAAGGTGACTTCTAACAATAGCGTAATGTTCAACTTACAAGGCTTCTTAGTTGAGTAGGTGGTCTGAATGCTGCTATTAGTACATATGTTAAAAGAAAGATTCTGGTGTTCATTACGTACCTTACTTTAACAAATGTAAACGATGACTTCTCGAAATATGAAGCCATATAAAATAAGTACAACAAATAAACAGGTTTTAATAACCTGTAACGGATTTGACTTTAACTAACACCTTTCAGTCAATATTTATGGAAGCAAAGAATAGGTATCGGAACTTTTCCTATTTGGTTTGGCTAAGTACTTGCCAATATTTGATTAATTTTGCATTCACAATGTTTTACTGAAAAATATGCTTAATGGAAAATACTTTAAAAAATCCACTTTGTTCCTTGTCCCACAAAGTTGTTTCATTAAGAATACTTACCAATATTTTAATATATCAAAATTATATCCAAATGTTATTTAATGATGAGTTTACTGGAGAATGCTACTTAATTGCTTAAAATGGCTACCTACATACTAAGTTCCATTAGATATTTTACACAGACATATTTTTTACATGCGTGTTCTTAATATTACCATATACCTTAGTATTGGAATGTACCATAGATGGAACTTAACGCTCAGGCAGTATATAACAATTATAAAAATTATTTTAAAAAGTGATGTGTTATTTGTAGATAATAGTATATGGACCACCAATAGTTGGTAAGACGACGCTGTCGAAGCTTACCGCCGAGGCATACGGCCTCGTCTATATTTCGCCGGACACGGTGGCTCAAGACATGTTGGAAGATTTGGTTAACTTCATTATATACTTTAATTATTTTATTTGAAAAGATTTTAACGTATTTGCTATTAAATAAAGTTATAGTTAATTAGGGCGCGTTTAAAGTTTAATCAATAATTAGAATTTGATTTGAATGTTCAATGATGTTTAGCTAGCTAATTCTTTTTATAGAGACAATGATAATATTTTTTATACACAATTCATCATTATATCACATCTTAAAACTTTTTTTCATATTATCCTTTCACTGTAAAACTATTTGATCCATTTCATATGTATATATTATTACATTCTTTGTTTTTATATATTGTTTATTTGTTATAATATATTAACGCTATTAATATATTTATCCTTCTCAATATTGCACCACTCCCCACAGTATCTTTATTCGTTATCCAGTTTCACCATAGGTTGCCTGGAAGAAATTGCTGTTAAGCAATAAGGCCGCCATTTGTTAACTCAATGTTTTTAAATAATAAGCTCCTGTAAACATTATATCATATTGAGTGCAATAAAGTATATTATTATTATATATAGGTTTTACTAGTCATATTTCTTTATTGACTTTAAGAAAGAAACAATACTAATGAAAATATCTTTAAAATTTGATCTAATTAGTTTTGTGTGTAGACTTGGCGTGTAGACCATTGGGATGTAGGCGAGTTTGCTGCGTTACCCCGACCAACAGGCGAGGAAGAAGATCCAGATGCAGCAAATACCGATGATGACTTGGGTGACGAGGAGGGGGTACAGGAGACCGCGCGTCAGACACTAGCTATATTACGTTCTGGAAGACTACTCACTGATGAAGAGATTATGGGGTCACTTTAATTTAAAATTTCGAGATTAGGTCTAGAGTGCATCTGAAAGTTGAATTATGTTCTATTGTAAACAGACTCCCTTGTGTCTTCAGATGCTATTGATGCATCTCATGATACAAAGTTAAATATTTATTTTTAAGTTAAATATTGATGCAATATGACTAGGTATACAATAAAATAAACGGACTATTGTTACCTTAAAGATAGTAGGTATGTATTTTAATAAATTTTAAGATCTAACAATCTAAACCTGCAGTTAGATAAAAATGCTGCGATGACACAAATTCGGAAATCTGCTCTTTTAAAAAAGCTGAATACAAAAGCTACTCAAAAATATGAATAGAATTAAAAAAACTATACAACAATTGACAGGGTTTCTTCTTAAAGGCAATTCTACGTGAGAGTTCTAGTTAATCAATAGTTTTTGCTTAAGAGCAATTGCAATGTCATTTTATCCATTACTAGTGGCCGCCAGCGATTTCGTCCGCGTTTTCCATTATTTCTTCGCTCCTTATAGTAGCAGCGTGATGTTATATAGCCTAAAGCCTTCCTCGATAAATGGTCTATTCAACACAAAAATAATTTTTCAATTCTAACCAGTAGTTCCTGAGATTAGCGCGTTCAAACAAACAAACAAACTCTTCAGCTTTATAATATTAGTATTGATTCAATGTATTCCATTCTTCAAATTGGTCATCTGATGGTCAGCAGGTAGCTAGTGGTTTATCACTTTAGCTTTTGTGTTATCCCTATTGCGTTGATACAGGTACCGTTGCTTGTAACTACGAAAATACATTCTAGGCTAACATAATGGAACAATACCCGACATAAAAGATATCTTGAACAGTACAACGTTATCTTGCCAGAACCGGAAACCAACCTCTTTACTTGTTTTCCGAACCACGACCGTACTAGATAAGTTTTACTGTCTGTCACAGTTCGGTGATTCCCATGTTCAATGGATTTTGCTTTTTTCTAGGGTTCCGTAACTTGGTTAATTAAAAACGGAACTCCAACAGCATCACTCGCGTAATGCGAGTATCACTGGTGTTGGTGCTGATACATGATCATGTGCTATCTGTCTGCCCGTGCATCGTTCACACTTTGCTTTGAAACCAATGAACTGATTGATGACCCAGCAATAGATGTGTAATTGAATGGAATCTAATATCTATACTCGGTGTTATACGGTTTAAAATATAGTAGGGAAATTTGACGGCTCTGTATAACGTGACGTTTGTGTATTCTCACTCACATAGAAAAATTTTCCTTATGTAGGTATCTACGTCAGAGGCTATTGTGTCGTGAATCTATAAACAGAGGTTGGGTTCTTGACGGATTTCCCACTAACTTAGGACAATGTTCATATCGTAAGTGTGTAATGTCATCATTAGTAAACCATTATAAAAGAACAGATACGCTTACTAGCACGTTAAGTTACTGTTTATCTTTACTTGAATTTAACACTAAAAACTTTGCAAGTAGAGTTCAAAACGTAATCCAAAAATATACATACGTGTAATATAAAATTAAAAAGAACGGTGATGGTTGATGTTTTCTTCTTGTAAAAACTTGAAAAGTTGGCAGTATTATATGAACTAAATTGGAAGACATTAATTTTCTTTTCTTTTTCGCTATTACCAAAGAAAATATGCTATTATGTATGAATCTGTTTTATAATAATCTAATTTGCTTCTATGTTTTATTTATATTGGTTCTTGTCAGTTTTTGAGAAAGGCGAGGAGCAAGACTCTGATGCAGGAGAAGAGAATGAAAATGATCAGTTTGATGAGGACCTAGATTTGTATAGTAATGTTTTAAAAAAAATATTGCCAGGTAAGCTTTTTTAGGACGTTGGTATATAAATTATATCTGGGTTTATATATTTTTTATATTAATTTATTGAGTTAAGGGCTGGATGGTGCGGTGGTAAGCGCGCTCAGTCTGCGATACGTTTGTAAAGCAACTTTCACAATGGTCGGTCATATGATGATAGTTGACCTATTTGCTTTAATTATGTAAGAATTAATCAATACTTTTTAATGAAACTCTTTACAAAAATACTTAAATAAATTTCTAATCGTTTTCTGTATTTCCCAATATTGATATTTAATATATACAAGCACTTATTTAAGTACAGTCATTCGCTACCAAAAGGTTACTACCGGTCAAATAAACTCAAAGTAATAGATTTTTTTCTGAATTTTGCTATAAAATAAATTGCTTTGTTGTACCTAATAATGTAGCGCATGAGAGCACAGTAATTACTTATCTTTCAGACATAGTTGTGTCACTGGAGGCGACCGATGATTTCATCTGTGAAAAGGCCATGCACCAGCCTGAAGGTGATTCACGTCTTGACGAGGAAACTATTTTGAGGCGTTTAAGTGAATTCAGAACGGGCGATGCTCGTGACATTACGCCCCTGAATTTTTTCGACGAGTTGGATATACACCCTCTGGTGGTGCCAGTGAAGGAGCATACCGATTACGGAATGAAAGGACCGTACGCTGCGGTCACTCTTCGAATGGGTCGGCCATGCCGCTACCGAAAACTTTTAGGTCAGCAGTGATTAATTGAGATGGAACGTCACGGTTACTTTAGTTTTTACTGTCAACAAATGGCGCTAGATGTTCTTGTTTGCTGCTTTTATATATTTAAATTCCTCAATTTAATTATTCTTTTTTATTTAGTGATGTGGTCTCCATTCATGTAGCTGTATATTAATGAGTGTAGATATCAATTTAACTGTAGATTAAGTTCTTTTCAATTTTTAATTAGAGACGAATTAAGGCATTACCATTATATATCTAAGTATAGGCTTAATATTTAAATGCATGTTGTATAAAATAATCGTTTTTATTGTAAAAATTTAAATAAATTTTGAACTTAAGCCTTGGTCGATCGATGCTTATAAATTGAGTTACTCTTAATGTTGCTTACTTTCGGCTATTTAAATCAAAAATTTTAACCTACTAGCTTTGCGCTTTCTAGAGTTACTATGACAAATTACTTTTTACCTTAAAAATCATCTGGTTTTTTTCTCTTAGCTCTCATTGAAGCTGCGGAAAAGAGAGAAAAAGAAGAATTAGAAACTTTGCGCGCTAAAGAAGCTAAAGCCATGAAAGATTTAGAAAAGAAGTTAAAAGAAGAGCGCGAAGAAAGAATGGAATACTGGGTAAATATATAAGATTTTGATTAGTTTATGGTACACATGGCTTCACGCGAGGTTACCAAAAATATGTCAACTTGCCGGGGTTGAGTTTAAACTCTACTGTTAAAACGTTAAGGTTTAATGTCAACTGTAGAAAATTTTGTATGACCTGACGTGCTGTTGACTTTACCTACTTTAGGTTAGTGAGTGAAAAATATTTTAGTAAATACCACAACCAAGTTGCATTTAACACATAAACAAAAACAGATGTCTGACATAAAAAATGTACTAATATAGAATTCATGATATCAATCATACTTATTTTAAGTATAAGTGATTGACAAGACGCCCAGTCATCAGAAATTCATTACACATCGCTAGTGAAAAGCTAAACCGATCCTTATGACCGTGTGATAAGATAGAAAGGAAATTTCACAGTTTATTTTTTCTTAGTCTGAGCTGTACGCTATAATGCGAGAAGAAGAAGAGGCTGCGCTTGCGGCAGCGGGCGAGCCGATGCGTAACTATTTAGTGCATAACATCTTCCCCACGCTCACGCCCGCATTGCTAGAAGTGGCTAAATTGCGTCCTGAAGATCCTGTGGATTTCTTGGTAGCTAAACGAATTTTATTAATAATTAACAAACTTTCTTAAAAATGGACAGTGAAATTATAAGCTAGACTTTACTGACTAAACAAATTTTACAAAAGCCTTTTTCGTAATTTGAAGGGCATCTTAAATCAGTTGGCCTCAACTGAATCAGCAAGCATTAAAAGCTGACTTCGTGGTGTATATGCTTCCATCTCATAACTGTCTGCATCTAATAGTTTTCTATGACGATTTTAGTTTTAGTCTAGTAGCTAGTATTTTTCAATTTCTAGGCTGAATACCTGTTTAAAATGAATCCTAGCGGCAAAATGCTAGAGCCAGGATACAATCTTCAAGCGGAAAAAATACTAGGCAAGATCAAAATACTAGACGACGCTTTAAAAGATTTAGATATCAAGATCGATCCTCTTCTGCCCCCAGAAGCTGAATTCGAGGACCCAACTTCGAAGAAGAATACGTCTATGGGTGCATTTTGAAATAACCCTCGTTGTCCGTTCATTAGTGTTCTAAAATTTAGAATACTTAAAAATAATAAAAGGTCCTGAATAAGAAGTGTTTATTGATTTTCTTATATTTTCACGCGCACTATCCATAAATGAAACACCTTTTAAACGGTTTCGTCGCGTTTTTCATGTGTTTTATTGACGTTTTGGACCCTTTACAAATTCCGTTCCGTGTTTTAAATTTCTTTCATTTAAAGAAGTGTGTATTCATTTAAAATAACATCGTTCTTAATTCTTCTTCGTTTTTAATCTGAATAATATTCATTGCATATGAGTACGCGGATAAATTGTTGCAGCTGAAATTTTTAATATAAACATGGCTGACACACAGTAAGCAATAGCTCCTGAATGTAATTAGCTTGATAATTAAAAAAAGAGTTTGTGTATATACGGTAATTTTCGTCACTAGGTAGCCATCTTCGATAATATCAATGGAATGGTGAAACTATTACAAAAGGGATAATGGTGCAATTATAGCTGGGTTGCGAGTAGGGTATATGTCACGCAACCTATGGTCGATAATTTCGATACTATCTTTGTCGTGTTTAGTATTCGTTTGGAGAATGGTGACATGGTCACGTTTGGGCACCAATATGATGTTTAAGAAAATGTGAAAAGCGTAACGATGAAAGTTCATCCCGATAATAGAGCTCGTATCAGAAACGGTTATGGGTCTCAGACGGACACTTCAGATGTTGGGACCTTGTCTTTGCTGGCTACGAGTCTTCGACATCAGACTACTGAATTTTTTAACAATTCCACTCTCCACGGGGTACGTTATATCGCGGAGAAGGAAAGGCCCTTTTGTGAAAAGTAAGTTTTTGTTTAGTACTTAATATGGTCATGTTTGATTAATTTAATTCAATATAGGTTTGTGAATTACTTTGTAATCTTCTGAAAGATTCATCGGGTATTTAAAGGGTTCATCGACAAGGCTCTCACTTTGTCTCTTTTTTAAAGACTTCTAGATGCATCCTTATCATTATCTGATTCTTTAAAAAATTATGGGAATTTATCTGTTTACTAAAATAGTGGAAATTATATTTTCGCTAGTAGCTTCCCTGTAGTTAACATAACGGTATTTTTATCCCTAGAGATAGAGACCTAGATATAAACTTAGGCTTCAAATTATTATAATAGAAACTTCACCAAAATTTTGTAATTTTTTGTGTGAAGAAGTTTCAAAGATTTTAACTTTTTATAATAAGCAGGTAAGTTAATACGTATAAGTAGTTGATGTTATGATATATATTTCAGATTTATGTGGTTTAGTTTTACAGCTGTGGGTGCTGTAACAACTTGCATAATTATTGTCAGTTTGTGGGAGAAATTTCAAACGAATCCTACTATCACTGGTAATTTTGATAAATTTCCTTTCCTTAGTTGAAACACTGTGAAATTAATTTAAACTTGTTTAATAAATTAATGTGTTAAAGGCTTGGACACTGATTTTCATAATTGGGATGTTCCTTTTCCGGCTGTCACTATGTGCGATGCAAATCCAGTGAGTGAAGAATTACTCGAAGAATACATTCAAAGGTATACAAAACTAGTTATAATATTTTATTATAGAGTTTAAATGTTCATTTTATTAATTAGGCTGTAAGAATTTGCCTAAGTATCAATGTCTCTTGTCGGTCCCGTTCACGAGATGACGAATCTAAATGATTTGTATATTAACAGTGTTTGGGGCTCTAATCCTCCGTATCGCATAGATGCTTTGCTGCGATGGATGGCTACGCTCAGCTACCAATCTATAGCAGAGCATGCTAGTCAATTTCTAGGCGACACAGATGCGACCGGCAAAACCGAATCAGATCCTTTAGCACAACTAACGAACGCAAAGGATGCAGTTTTGAGTGTAAGTATAGAAAATATTGAGTTGATCTTAGATGGTTTTAACCATTTTTTAAATGAAGTTTATTGAATTATTAATAGCCTATGTAGTTTAATTCTTCGTTTTTTAAAGATATTTTTAGTTTGTAAAATGATTAGGTTTTTTATGTATATTAAACATAGATTTTTAATAAAAATATAACTACTGGTACTATTTCGAAAAAATGTTATTAGAACCCCTCGAGAATAAATTTCATATTAAAACAAGCAGAATCTTAAAAATTGTTATTTAATATTTTTTTTTTTTTTTAATTGCCCGGCCTTACTGTCTATGGCCGAGCTTCCTAACTTGTCCCCACTTTGTAGCAGGCCCTTATTATTCACTATATTTCTCTTGCATTCCAGTTCTATCGTTTATACTATCGTTCATTCCGCATACTTTATCTTTCTTGTATTCTTCCACATTCATACCTTCGGCTGGGAGTGCCGGTCCTATTCTGTCTACTCTATTTTGTTTACTTTATTTTTCTTTATTTATTAGGGTTTAATACATACACAAAGTTGGTTTTTATTTCCATAGCAATATCTTACTCTATTTTACATGGTTTCTTATTCTCTATTACATTTCTCTTATTCTATTACATGTGTTTTTATATTCTATTTACATTTTCTTTTGCCTTCTTCTACCAGTTACATTGTCCTTTATTAATTTGTATCTTATACAATTTTTATTTTGGTTCTTATTCTATATATGCTTATTCTATTACAGTATTGTTACTTACTTATCCTATTATTTTATACATGTCTTTTCTATTCATACTTGTAATTATATATTTATATTTTCATTTACACTTTTGTTTACTTTTTTCTTTAATACTTTTGCCCGTCCTTGTTTTCTTTCTTAATTATTATTTCCCTTATCCTATTATTCCTATTTGTATTTCTTTTTCTTTTTTATTTTACTCTTTTGTCCTATCCTATTTGTTTATTCCTATCATAATATATCTAGTTTTATTATTCCTATATTTAAGGTCACTCTTTATATATGCTTAAATATATATAGTAATCCTCTTTCTTTTTCGGTTTTTTGTTTGTTATTTCTTTACTTGTTTGGTCTCGTCCGGTTTTATATATAACGATTTATATATTCTTTATTTGTGTTATGTGTTTACATGGAGCTTTGCATCTCCATGATGTTCTACTCTATGTTTTGTTTTTTGTTCTTGTTTGATGGGTTGATTGGAATGTTCATCATTCCAATCACTCCATTGTTTTGTGTTAGTGTTGTCTGCTTTTTGTGTGTGTGTTTTTTGTTCAGTGTTTGTATTGTGTTTCCGTACATGTTCTTTTTGTTCGTGTGTTGTTTTGTGTTGTTCTCAATCATAGGCTGTTGTGGAGCGGGGCTCCACGAGGCTGTCCCATTTCTCCCTTGTTTTGCAGCTGTTACTGAATGCATTGTATTCAGTTTCTGGTAACTCCGCGTGCGTGCAGTTGCAGCACTGCGGTGGGACTCCTGCTTTTCTGTCTGGGCATTCTGCCCGCAGGTGTAGCCCTCCGCAGTGGCTGCATCTGTCCGCACTGTCTTGACAAAATAATAATAATAATTTCTTGCCATGTCCAAAATTGAGACATCGTGTACATCGTGTACTGTATGAGGGGGAGAAGGTCTGGTCTTCGACCCTCACCCTCTCCATTTCAATGTACAGATGACCCTTTCCTGTAATCCTTTTCCAGTACGCAGGTTTTAGTTGTGCGATGATGTGGCATTTTTCAGTGTTCCTTGTCCTGCGTCTGTATTTTGAAGTCATCTTCCTCTTGTTCGTCCACGTAAATATCCGGATTCTGGTTCCTTATAGCCGTTTTTATTTCCTCATCTGTCATTTTATACTTCACATCTTTTATTATAATGAGTGGGTTCTTGTTTTTTACTTTTTCGGCTTCCAATTCCTCACTTTCATTTATTCTTTCCTTTAGTTTCTGAATCTCTCGTTCCTCCTTACAGCTGACTATTATTCTTTGATCCTTTACTTTCCTTATCCTTTCAATCTGTATACCGTTCTTTTCCGGTTTTAATATTGCCTTCGTCTTATTTATCACATCCTCTGCCATATCGTTGTCGTTTTTCGATGCAATGAGGATCGAATGCATTGTCTTTGGCCTTCGATCGTTTCCGCTCTTAGCGATCTCTGCGTATGTGTTTGCCCTTTGTACTCCTGTTGATGTTGTGGTTTCCTGTGCCGTTACTTTCTCCATTTCCTTTGTGATGTTTTCTGCTGTCTCTTTTATGTTCCCTGAGATAGTTTCCTTTGTGTCTGTTATTATCTCCTTTATGTTAGATTCGAGATTTCCCAGTCTGTGTAGTATTTCCGTATTTCTTTCGGGTGCAGTTCCTCCATAAGTGATGGTGTTTTGGATGTCTTGCATGCACTCCGTTAGTACGGTGTCAATGGTCTTAGTAATCTCTAGGGTTATTTCTCTTCCCGTCTCCCTTATTTGCTGTGTCAAATCGGTGTCCGTTTCTTTGCACATACTTTTTTTCTCCATGACCGTTTTCCTTCCCTACTAACTTACGTTCCAGTTCGATGGTTTCCGCTGTGATATTTTCCTCTATCGTGTCCAGCTTCCTAATGATTATTGCCGTTGTCATCTCATTGTCCTTTAATGTTCTGTCTGCAAACCTATCGAATAGGGCCTCTTCTCTACTCCTTATATTCTCCAGTTTGTGGTCTATCATTCTTAGGTACTTTGTTTGCACGGATTCATCATCTTCTTTACTTCTTTTCTTCTCTTCTCTATGTCTGCTTAGTTCTTCCTGTTGTTGTTCCATTTTCCTTGCCAGCTTATTCATCTCTTCCTTCATCGTTATCCTCATTTCCTCCATTTTTCTCCTATTTTTATTTTCTCTTTTAACTCCTCCATCTCGTGCCTGTCTCTTAAAGTTTTATTGTATAGTTCACTCAAAATGTCTAGGCCCGTCATTGCTATCGTCTCCAAGTTATCTTTCACCTCTCTCTTCATCGCACCATATATTTGTTTTTGAACAGTTCTCGTTTAATATTCATTCAAGTTTGTATTTGAATTCATATAAATATGTATGAAGTATATGTGTAGGTATTATTCATAATTTTTTTTTAGCGATTACATATGTACCTTTATCGTTTGTTTTAATCTCCACATCACCTAAAAGGTCGACTGGCAGAGAATGCCTAAGGCATTAAGTCCGCCATTGTACGCTTGTGCATAACGAGTTAAATAAATATATAAAACCATTCATCCAAAGAGTGTATCATTAGAATCGGTCCGAAGATAACAAAAAACTATCGGTGAAATTGAGAATATCTACTTTTTTGAAATCTGTTAAAATTACATTTTTTTAATAGTAAATAAATAAATATAAGTATTAAACAACATCACGTACATTGCTCAGATTCCAAGATGAGTAGCTAAAGCTCCCGTATTATGAAGTATCTGAAACAACGAAGGTACCACAACACCCAGACCTGAGAGACAATATAGAAAAATTCATTTTCTACATTGAATCCTTCAGAGATGGCGAGACACCTTGAAACCGGCGTGCGAACCACTTGGCTATGGAGGTCAGCTAAATATATAGATCTTATCTTATACCTAATATATAGATCTTACTTGATATTTCAGATAGTACGACGCTGTGAAGAACTGTTTTACGATTGTGAATGGAAAGGCGATTCGGAGGAATGTTGCGACTTACTGGTGCCAGTATTCACAGAGATGGGTTTCTGTTATGCTTTTAATTCCCGTCATGCTGAAAAAACTTGGCCATGGTAAGGAATTTATAGATACTAAGCCAGTGACATAATTATACCGTTTGAGGCCCATGGCAAATTCACGAGTAAAGAGTCTCCTCTGACCTTGGGCCCCTTTCAGCAGGGTGCCCGTGGCATTTTGCCGACTTGCCACCCTCTAATGACGCCACTGCACTAAGCACATCCCATGATATGGGATTACTTTGCCGTGGAAATTTCTTCCATGTGAAAATATATCAACCTATTTCAGGATATTTTGTTATGTTTATTAATTATGATATCACCGTCAAATGAATATGAACGCAAAACAACAATAGGACGTGTTTTAAAGTGTCATACGTGTGCGTGCGTGCGTGTTGATAATTTATTCTGGCACCTAGGGCAGGGGTAAAACACCGATAAAGCATTTATAGCGAATGCCTTGGCGGAGTGGCCCGCATGTTTTTTTCAAGATGTTGCCATCTCTGAGGTTTCAAGTTCGATTCTCGGTCGGGTAGATGTATCGGTAGAAAATTATTTTTCTTTATGGTCTCGGTTTTGTGTTGTGGTATCTTGGTTATTTGATTGTGATACTCCTTATTACGTGTGCTTTACCAACTTAACTTGAAATATGATTAATGTAGGTATGTGATGTTGTCTCATAATATTTTTTTAAGTACCTACAGTATATAAAAAATTCTAGAAATTATTCTGCTTAAATATCAACAATTTATTCTTACAATCTTTGGACGAAAACAATTCCACTAGCTACGGACTTAGATACTACGACAAAAATATCGCAATGGTTTTATAGGAAAGTTCGTGGACGCATACGTTATAATGGATGCCAACAGGAATTCAAAAGCGTCTTGAATTCTTCATATACATTTATTTCTATACAATTACCTTTTCGATAAGTCGTACCGTGAACTTCCACGATAATATCGCTCCCAATGAAAAACACCGTTCCAAATTCAGTTTTATTTTCCAGGCAGACGCAGTCTCTACCAGAACAGTTCATTGAGGCCTTTATACATGAAACAGATGCTAAATGGTCATTCCTATTCAATTCTTATCGTAATGACACCACTATTGACGTGAGTAATACATGATACAATGTTCCTGGTTACTGTAGGACGAAAACTATTTCATGAAGCTCACATGTTTATTTTTGAAATAATAAATCATTTTTAATATATTCATTAGGTTTACATGCGCAAATATAGGTACATAGATAAATGTATTTATATTCTTTCTCCGGCAAGATAAAGTCTGTAGGTATTTGTAAGGTAATAGCAATGATTAATATATTGGACCTTTTTAAATTGTGTAGTTAATACCCGTTATTAAAAAACTAAATTGTTAGTTTTTCTAAATTTTTCTCAATACAGGTAAAGTCGGCCATCCAGTGAAGTACTTTGTACGCATACTAACTTTTTTGTGTCATAGGGGGAATGCTTTATAAGCTGTCCCTGCTTCTTGACAGGCGACAGGGGGTGTGTGGGATTTTCCATCCACACGGACCCGACCGAAGGCGAGTTAAAACGTGTATAGCATACCTACTAAACATCCTCCGATGCATCCTCACTTTTGGGGGAAGGCGTGGGATCCAGCAGACATTGCTCCATATCTACTACTTACTTTCACTGGACTAAATGTGCCTAAGTAGTAGTATAAGACCTCATAATAACTAATAGAAACGTTTAATTGCAGAACTGCTGTCGCATTGATCCAATCAGTAGGAAGGTATAGAGAATTGTAAATCGGGGCTTACATATAGCCCGAGATGGGCGTGATTGTATTATCCCCGTATCACGTGCTGAGTAACTGTATGCCAAATAACTACGCACGACGCGGCACGTGTCAGATGCAACTGACGCTTTAATAAATATTTTCTATTGTCTTTAGCACTTTAAAAACCTTTTTAGGCTTAGGCTTTTTCAAATGTTTTTAAATTTCTCCAGATTTATATACATTCAACGGAGGAAGTAGCCGGGCTCGAGCAAAGTCCTCAACATTCGTGGGACCGTCGCGTAGAGAAAGTGTCGTTTTCTGTGAAGCATACTTACACTACAGAAGACGCTCGCCAGCTGTCCATCCGACAGAGACGCTGTATATTTGCAAACGAACAGAAATTAGAAACGTCCACTATATACACGTATTCAACGTGCATGAGACAGTGCCGTATGCGCAGGAGTAGGGCGTATTGTAAATGTGTACCACACTTTTATCCACCTACTAGTGAGTCCATCTGTTTTGTTACTTATTTAAGTATAATGTGTATTTGTAAATAGTAATATGAATAATAGTCCAAGTTATTAGATACCTATTTATATATGCTTTTTTTTGGAAAAACTAGCGATTGGTCTATATGTTTCCATAGCTCAATTATTTTGCAAAAGATTTTTTTTTTTGCTATGTCGTGACATTAAAAGGTCTATGTACCTATTAAGTTTTAATTTCAAGCTGTAAATTATATAAAAATTCATTTTAATATGAAAGCAATATATGTATAACGAATTAAAGCCATAGAAAAAGAGTACTTTGCGCTTAAGTAGAGAAATATTGAATTTTTTCTTTTATACCATAGCTATACTAGCTTTCCGCCCGCGGCTTCGTCATGCAAGTGTAAAAAAACTACTTCTTTTCCCAAGGTTCACTCTATCTGTGAAGCAAATTTCATTAAAATTGGTTTGGTAGTTTAGGCGTGAAAATATAACAAACACACAGTTACCATTATAAATTAGCGTGGAAAAGATGGAAATTTCGGGCGTTTATCTATATCTATAAATATACGCCTCTACTTTTGTTTTGAGCATTTAATTTTCGGTACGCGTTTGAGGTAGAATTTAGACAGGATAGTTTCAGTCTTATTGACTTCATAGTGTTAAACAGAGGGCTACAGAATGTGCACCGTGCGAGAGTTGGAGTGTATAGCGCGATACGCGGACGCTATAACTGACGTCACGAGGTGTGCTTGCGAACTCGGATGTACGCACAGCGTGTATGAAGTGGAGAAGTTATCCGAAATCGAGTAAGAGCCATACAACTATGACCTTAATTGTACACAATAAACCTATATTAAAATCTCAATCAAAATGCCGATCTATAATGTACCTACACATTAAAATGGTTTATAAGATGTTATTATTAGTGTTCTGACAAAGTCTGAGTAAATATAAAGTCGTAATCCAAATACGAGAGTTGCAACTAATATTATAAAGTAGATTTACTTTATTTTAAGAGTATTCGTATTATTTTTCTCAGTTCAACGAAGGCACTAACTACAAATTCTTTGGAAACTGAATTTGTGTCATGGCCGATGGTGCGTTACAAGCGTGAGGTGCTCTTCGGTTGGGTTGACTTGTTAGGTACTTGGTACATTTTTTACTAAAACTGTCCACTTTCAATCAATGTATGATGACCTGTCACATATTTCTTTAAAGGTCGTGTCTACATTCCATTAGTGATTATTTATTTAAATTAGTTTGCGTTTCAAATATTATAACATCCTAAGCATCTTTTACTTTGGGGGCAAGGTGAATTCGTAATTTGTAAATAATGAGGTAATATAAGCTGTCAAAACTTCCATTAAAATCAAAGCTTTTTAGAGTTTGACTCGTAAATGTGAAAATAAATGTAATTGTTATTGTGCATTTTTAAACCACAATTATATTTTTCTGTAGTAGATGAAACGAAAGGCAAACCATATTCGTGGCTTTGTCTTAAGACTTAATTACGCGATATGAAATAAGTACCTAAAATTAAAGTACGTTTTGAGATATATCACATTATTGGTCGCGTTAGTAAAATTTTTGATAAAAATTGGACACGATTCTTTATTTTTAAAATCACGCTTAAATACCATTAATTTTAATCACTAAACCAAATATAAAATGTGTCTTTAAGGGAGACACTTTTTCGAATGCCGTCTTTGTCACATCAAAATCATATTGATTTGTTTCGCAGTCTCGTTCGGGGGCATAGCGGGTCTCTTCTTAGGGTTTTCACTGCTTTCTGGAGTAGAGTTAATATATTACTTCACGTTGCGCGCGTGGTGCGCGGTAGTCCGGGAAGCGGACACACTCAAAGAAGAACGAGCTCAACGTCTTGCACAACCGAAGCCGCCCTATAATCTTAGTCTGGTACCGTGGTGAGTGACTTTATGCTTAATGGCATTTAAGCCGTTAGTGATGCAATCGCATACAAAACATCGGCGAAACTGGCGGAATGCGAACAGGGTTGTCACCTTTTGAGAAACAAAATTACGAGACATTCGGACAGTTTTTGATAAAGTGTACATTTAGATTAGAATAGAATATTATAAACTAACAATAACAGGGGTGTAGACAATTTTTTATATTTTCTTTTATTATAGGTATAAATATATCTAAAAAAAATATCTCGCGAAAACGCCACTTCTCTCATTGCGTCGCTATGACGTCACGGCACTCTGAAACGAATATCGCCCTATGTATGCATAAGGTTGATTCTCTAAGTTCTAATATGAGTAAGGGCGGGACGTCATGCGCTGTTTGCGGTCACGTGACAACGAGCTTAAAATATTTGTTTTTTCATAATTAGTTTAAGCAATGTTATAAATATAATAAGCATAAAAGCATGATTATCGGTAATAGTATATTAAATACTACCATGTATTTATTTTCGTTTACTGTCTACACCCTTATCGTTCAAAATAACGTTGACATATATAAATATTAAGGTTCATATTTCAGGTGGAAAAAACCGCCGACACCTCGCAGTGCTCGACCAATAGTTGTGCGCTCAAGAAACGTCCATCCTCCACAGTATTCACCGCCTCCAGGATATAATACTTACTTGCCTTAGTTTCCTAGTATTAAGAATTAATAATACTATTACAGTGTGACAAAATTATAAATGGCACAAAATAACTTGATGTATTGAATTGTTGCAACCACTGTCATATGGTGTTTCAATAGTTTAAGTATAAAAACTTGTACGCATAAAGGTGGGTAACAAATATATTATACAATTACTTCTGAATCTTTTATTTTTACTGTCACATTTATCTAAAATGTCTTCATATTATTATAACATCGAACTACATTACCGTGACATAATTGGACACAAAACAGTCAACAAGTTCCAAATATTGGAGAAATATAAACATAGACAATAGAAAAGTCTAAAACAACCACAATAATGCAGTTCAATTAACAACAAGTTCAAAAAGATATTTTTTCAATACTATGTATCCATTTGAATTTTCTACACAAATCATTAACTGAATAAAACATAGCACCAATAAAATAAATACAAACTAAATATCAAAGGAATGAATATGATACTTACACTGAATGAAAATTATTGCGACGTATAAGTAAACAAGGGGAGTTAGGTATTGATTACTTAACGAGTGTATATATTTTGAGACCCAAAGCGGATTTTATATAAAACACTATAGATCTACACGATTTAAGTATTCAATACTTACCCCTAAAGGATATATAATACTTTATACTACACTTACGAGGTAAAACTGCAAAATCAGTTTTTTTTTTCATTACAACACACCAAGTTTTTATAAACCGTTTCAAATTGCGTTGGATGAATATTTTCATGTGTGACAAACTATTAACCATTTGAATTATATTTAACGCAAATTGGAGTGCTTAGTTTGAGTACTTACTAAAAAACAAACCCTCATTTCGTATTTTCATACAATAATGTTAGCTTGCTTTTGAAGTGGGTATAATGTGCAACTTATGCCTCTGCTGTTAAGTCAGTAATGATAAATTTTCAAAGTAAGTGTAGTATAAAATTATTAGTAGCACAACTGAAATTATTTCATCTAGTGTTACTCCTATCGCTTACATACGCCTAATTCATAACTTACACGATCGCATCGAATTGTATTATCTTAGTATGCTACAAATCAAGTTCACATCTCATTAAAAAACTTCATTCCGCAAACGCTCCATCACGTTAATACACAGCGTATAGTAACATAGCACAGTCACCGAACAGAGAGAATTCCGTACGATGACCTCTGTACCTACTGATAGATATCGTAAGCGTTTTAGATTCAATTTACTGTGACAAAATTGGCTTAGATGCATCTGTGCGAGCGCAACAGCAATATATACGAATGAAACAGACGATTAATCCCGGGTAATTGTACGAAATTCTCTCTGATCGGCGACCATGCTATATTAACGAATACAACCTATTTTTAAAAGGCAAGGGTTATTTTGGGCATCTATGTGAAACTGCAGTAAGTACATTTTGCAGAACTAGTCAAAGCAAACACAAAAGATACATTATGTGTTCAAAAGCTTATTTTCTATTATAAATTGAGTTAGTACGCGAAGTAATAACAAATAGCAAAATACACAAATTAAAAATGTCTCTAAAATAGCATCACAAAATTACAATGGCGGTTCTGTTATGCCACTCTCTAAACGAAACTAAATAATAAATCTCAATATTAATTTCGTTAAAGTCTATTGCTATTCCGTTGTTACACAACTACACAAGAATAGTCCTGTATTAGTTGTTTACAGAATTCAAAAAGTAGACCGACATGATTGAAAGCTAAAGATATTCTAGTTTGTGCCAACAGAATTGCCGCTTAAACCTAACCATAAAAACAGATTCTTTTAGTAAATACTTTGCAAATCGAAGATATGTAAATAATTTACTGGTAGTAATTAAAAAGTTAAGTACACCAATTGTATTTAATGTTGAAATACTTTTCTCATACATACAAATATAAGTTAACCCCCCCTCCCAATTTGCCACTCCACTAACAAGTGATCGTTTTTTACAGTAGGAGTTCTTAATTTTAGGTGGTAGGTAGGTTTAAATTAGACAAACAAGCTGTAAATTCGTAAGTGATTTACGTATAAGATTTAATTGCAAAAAAATATTAAGTACTATAGTTGTAATATTTTACTATTATTTTTTGGTAACTACTGGAAATTGCAAACAGGTTGCCGGCTATATTTTATTTATAGTTTGGCAACAGAAATATGATCGCATTGATCATACAATTAATTAATTAAAAATTCTTATTTTTATGCTTTCACACTGGGTAATATATAAAATTATATAAAATAATAATAATAATAAATTATATACCTATCAGCCACTTGCACAAACGACCATTAAAATTGTCATTAGTTTAAAAAGACATTACCGATACAAATTTGACATTCATTAGAGCTTAAGGCGTCATTAAATATTAATGGGCGTTTGTGCAACTTACCGTTGGTCTAGGCGGCTAATAATTAACTAAAATGTGCAAAAGTAAAGGTTAACATTGAGCAAGATTTTTCATGTTGACAAAACTCTTTCTTTATTATAAGTATAACATAGAAAGAATTTTGTGAATTTCATATATGCAGAACATAATCACACGGCATTTGTTTGATTTTTTTTTCCGTTAAAAAGCAATAGCAATAACAAGCAATCATTAAAATTCGCGGATATTTATACGTAGCATTGAGATAATCTTGATAAGCTGCCGTATAAACGATGATCCAATGCTCAATGCATTTAACCAACGAAAAAAAAAATAAGACTAAATAATGGTTGTATAACAATAAGTACAGAATATTAAGCACTTTCTGATAGAAACGTAAATTTCTGTTTAAACTAATCATACTACGATTATTTATTTACAAAGATGTAGTATTCCACTTAAAAATACCTATACTCTATCTTATTTTAAGTTAATGGTTTACGGGGGCAAAAAAAAACTATTCGTTTACAGCCTATTTTAATGAAAGTATTGAATGAATTATGGAATATTTTCTACATACAACCTCGTTTCCACATGTGTTGAATTATTGTAGTTCAAAATTGCTTAATGGTTGAATATTAAAAAGATAAATGCACATATATGTAGTTTTTGTTAAATTAAAAAAATACGATATCGATAAAACTAATGTCATGAAAATCATTTATAATTTTTTCTAGCCAGCTGATTGCAGAATGTTAAATAGTCAGTAAATATGTGAAAATCTGCATCCATTGTTTAAGACATCTGTCATACTCGATTGTATACGTGAATATAAAGTACTAGCTTGCCGACATCTGCTGAACCGTAAAGTAAGATAAAAAGTAGCTCATATGATTTCGGCTTAGAATTATCCATATACTAAATTTCATCAATATTGTTCAGTAGTTCGTACTTACATCCTCACAGACTTTCATATTTATAATATTATAGTACGATATATTTCAAAAGTAAAATAAGTCTACGTTCCATAATTCACTGTGGTAATTTTCTGTTTTTATTTAGGTACTACATGTACATATGAAATATCTCAATATTCTAATTTTATATAAATATCTTAAACGTAACGTATAAACTAAAATGGACTTAAGGCTTTAGTAGGATGATACATAAATTTTTTTATTGAATCAAGTGTGCATTTATGTTCCTAATATTCTATCGAGATTCTTCTATTGTAACATTGTAATGACTATATGTATGCTACATTCTAATAAAATGCAAAGCTAAGACCAAACTGTAGATGTTATATACAAAACATAAATACTTAATTTGTCTTACTAAAGGAAAAATACAATAAGAAACTCATTGACAAAGCACCTTCCTTTTGTGTAATCTTTGAGAAAAAAGTAAATAAATTAGAGGCTGTTTTAAGTAAATAATTGATATTGCATTGATTATGAACGACAAATTCCGAGCAAACTGTTATTAAAAATAAACATAATTAAATCATATTTTTAATGAAAATTGGCAAAAAAACAAATTTTGGAAAAATATATATGGCATATAAAAAATTATAATATTTACTTTATAATTTACAACATACTATTCATAATGAAAACTGATAAAAACCAAAAATGATTTCTATATATATTTTAATTGGTGTCTGACATTCAAACTAAAATTACTTTTAAATTTTTATACAGCTGTAAGCAAACTAATGTTTGAGTTTGGTAACATTTTGAATATCTAATCAGTCACTGGGAATTTCCGTGATACAACTTTTACATATAAATTTAAAGTTTAACAAAATGAATATGACAGTAGAAATTTCGAGATATTTGACTGTTCTTAGAAACGTTTTACTTGTAGTCACAGTATATATTATAATTAAACGTAATTTATAAACGTACGAAATAAGTTACATAGCCTCATGGCAGCACGATACGCTTGAAGACATCGCGGCACTATTAGATATAATTTATTACAAATGAAAATGAACTCTATTGAAATGAGAGGTGAAAACACATTTTGTATTGCTAGTGCCAGCTATTACACGGTATTTATTATATTTTTGTAAAATATTATACTTTACTGTTATCACAGTACCGTTAAGAAGCAACTGCGTTTTTATGTAAAAATGAAACTGGTCGTATCTTCGGACTTAATCGATAAATATACATTCCTTACAAACAATTAAAATACCTAAATTGACTCTACGCGCCACAGGATCACAATTTTGAATTATGTTTCACTTTAATAAAGTTTTAACACATAACAAATAACATTATTCCGCTGACTTTCCGATGCTTATCTATGGTCAGTCGGCAAAAACGAACAAAACACGGCAAGGGAAATTTAATTATAGGATGATATTCGTTCTCACATGTTTTGTTAGGTTCTCGTCAGCAGACGTGTGTGGGCGAACGCGGCGGCCATAATGGACATTCGGCATCAGCAGATATATCTTCGACGTCATCACACCGCCGCCGTCGAGCGATACGAAACAATGTTCGGAATTTATCCACGTCCGATAGAGTGGCCTGAGGGAAGGGAAATTATAATATACAATACAAATACATATTTTTTGGAAATAAATATAAAGTACAACGACGAATTTTGTTGTGACCATAGCGAATATTGGGTAAAATGATATCCTTTCTAATTAAGTATTATTAAAAAAAAAAAGATTTAATTCCTACTATGCTCATTATTTAATCTTTGTCCATTATTGTGAATGGCAATTGACGTTTATATAAAACTGTTCACTAAACGTGCCTAGTACTGCAATCAGGCGACATAAAGTTGCAGTAATACATTTTATTGCCATTTAAGGATAAGGAAATAGATACTCATACAAATTAGTTTCCCAAAAAAAATGTCAATGATGGAGCGTTCGGTACGCGATGTGGAAGTTAAGCAACTTTCGCTAGGGCCGGTTATGGTATGGGTGACCAATTAATTTCTATCCGTGCTTCGGATATCACGTTAAGCCGTTGGTCCAGTCTGCAGTCTGTTAACACCTACCAATCCGCACTAGGTCCGCGTTGAAAATCATGGCTCATTCTCCCTATTTCATATAATCCACCTAGAAGGCCTGTGCCTCAGCAATGCGAACATTAATAGGCTGAATATTATGAAATGACTCGGTTCTAATTTCCCCCACTTTTTTGTTTAGTCATTACACAGAGTTATAATCTATATCTATAGCATTAAAATGACTGTTTTATGGTGTTCATTATAATATTCTTAACAAAATATCATCATTTCATTCATTGAGCTGGCTCAGAATGAGCGTGACGTACATTTCATTTATCTTATGGCAAAATAAGGAACATGATATTATGTGCAATTCAATGGTTTTCATATGAATCAAGTCGAAGGTCTGATCTATCAGAATCACGATAAAAATCCTATATAAATGAAAAAGAGAGTTTTTAGCACAAACAAAAATATTATGAACTTACCTCGACGCCGATAGCCAATATTAGGTGTAGTAAGGGTATGATGAGTAAGTATACACGAAACATGCTTTGTTCCACTTGCGAGGTATCCATGGGTGTCACTTCCATTAGATTCGAGAGCCACGACCACGGGCACAATAGTAATAACGTCACAAATACTGCTTGAGTTAGTAATGTAATCACCATATAGTCTGCGAATAAAGAAAAATATAGATTACAAAAGGTGTCACAAAACGACAATCACTTTCATTCTTATTCAATACTTATCGTTCAGCCGCCAACATTCTCTCGTTTCTTATCATCCATACATCAGAACACAGAAGAGAGGTTAGAAAGGCGATCATGCATCCTTTGTACGAGAACCGATTTCGCCAGTCTTGCCCCACTTTTCATTCGTCTTACATCAGACGAAATATTAGACCAATTATATAAAAGATATGCACACACTTGCATTTTAAACATGCTAATCAGAACGCTCCAATTTAACTAGACATCTAGAGTGCATAAGAAACGTGTAAAAGCCATTTTAATTTGACATATTACACTAATGATTGTATAAAGTTATTTACTATCGATATTGAAAAACAACAAGACGATTAATTGAAAAGATACTGGAGTAATGATTTCTTTATATTATTTTAGATATACGTTAAATTGTATTGATTAAATGTGATATTATCTTTTATCGATATCAATATAGTTGGTTAATTCAATAAGAAATATTTTAATCGCTTCCTAATAATGAACTAACATTGAATCGGTACTAGTGCTTAAATATTTATTTGCATATATGTTTGTTGGTTTGTTTATAAATAATAAAAGTAGGTACTTTTTCTAATAAAAAAAAATGTTTCAATCGGGAAGAACATCAGAATTGGAAAGAATTAGAATTAACTTCTCTTTGTTACTCTTCTAATATTCACAATTTCAACTAATAAAATTAATATTATTTAGGAAATGGTAAATACTCACAATTAGCACAGAACGGCTGTCTAAAGGGCCATCCTTTAGCGTACACACACGCCATTATTAAATACTGGAACGCCGATACGATGAATATGACTGTGTTTTCCCAGCACAATACTTGCTCTACGTCTGGTCCGCCAACTACTGGACTGAACCTGAAAATATAATATTAATATAAAATGTGTGCTTATATTAATGATATAATTGTTTTTTTTTGCAACAAATAGGCTCCGAAACTGGACCGATTTTAAAAATTCTTTCACCTATGGGAACCTACATCATGTGCAGTAAACATAGGCTGTATTTTATTCCGAAAAAAGCAAATAAAGGGATGAAAATGGGAGCGGAAGTTTGTATAGGGAATTAAAACGTAACCATAGCAATCATTGTTTTCTACAATTTATCATTGTAAATATATCCGTGTCCTGATATAAATCGACATCCAAATAGAATAGTCCTTAGAGAAAAAAGTAATTCTGGTTTCTAAGGATCACGCAGGCGAAGCCACTAGCGGAAAGCTAACATCATATAATAAGGAGGAAGGAATGCGAATCACAAAGGGTATTATTTGTAGTTCCAAAATTTCTTTAAAATCACTGACATCAAATATGGAAAACTACGAGCAACGTTGTCACAAATTCCATTTTCGTCAAGTTAAAAATGATATGACCTTTTAAATGCGTATTTTATTGCGGCTTTAAATATGGCTCAGACCATAAGCTGCTGGCCACCCCTGTCCTATAAGATGAGCAGAACTAGCGTAAACACTTCATAAAATTTTTAGAAAATCTTCAGAGTTAAGTTTAGCATATGCAATATGATTTCGACCAAAAAATATATTCTTGAAAAAAGTTTTCTTACAGATACAGTTAGATATTTTATGACCGACATTTTATGAACGTACTTAATGTGTTTAAGTTGATGAAATGTACACTATTATTATTAAATAAAATCTCCTCGTTTGTTAGGTAATGGATACTGCTAATTGTATAATTTCAAATTCTATCACACTCCCTTTCAAAAGTATAACGATTTGTGAAATTACTTTAAAAGTAGCAAACGTTTTTGTAACGAATGATGGTTTGAAGGATCAAGAAACAATAAAAACCCACATAAACCTGTCGAAAGATTGCAGTTAGCATACAACTCTTTCGTTTGACATTTCTCAATAGCTTTCAGATTTTTGCGTCTAATACTTGCCTTAGGCAATATGATATTGTTCATTAAATATCTTTCAAAAAACGGCGCAATCACATATCAAATAGCTGTAGCGTAAAGTTCGCATCTTTTAAATGTCAAATTGAAGGGGTTGAGATATGTTTAAAAATTAGTCATTCAACTCCCTGTATGATAGATACTAACGTGATATTGGTTGGGAGGACCAATCTGTCTATGTAAGAATAAATAAATATTAGACAACATCACATACATCGCTCAGATTCAAAGATGAGTAGCTCAAGCCACCGTATTATGTAGTATCTGAGACAACGTAGGTACCATAACACCCAGACCCAACAATATAGAAAAATCATACAACATTGAACGGACCGGGAATCTGACCTGGGACTCCAATAAAATTGAAAAAATTCAAATATTTTATACTCGTTACGTCACACCCCTCTTACTCATATCAGAACTTAGAGAATTAAACCTTATACATTAGAAAGATATTAGTTTCTGAGGGGCGTGACGTCATAGCGACGCCATGATAGAAGTAGGCGTATTCGGGAGAAATTTAAATTTATTTTGAGATTTTAACTTATTATGTGAATGATATTTTTTTACATATATTTCATAGCGATACTAACCATTGTTGAGTGTAGAGGAGATATATAGGCGCTAGTTGCATCAATAGCACTAGTGTGACTTGCATGATGAGTGGCAGGATACTGGATAAAGCCACCAGAGATACGGGAGGTGACTGCTTGGTCAGTATAGGACCAGGCGATGCGCGTCCCAACGATAGAGCCAGTAGAGTAGTTAGCACCAGATCGATATACAGGAACTGGTTGTTGCCCAAGATGGAGTAGAACTGTTCGTATAAATTTCATATAAATGCGCTTTTAACATCAACATTGTCAATAGCAGTTATAATGTACAACTATCAGAATACATATAATATTGTACTGCACATAAATAAACGTGTACCACACATCCTTTTGTCAAGGGTTTCTGAGAACATGTAAACTAGGACTTCCAATCCCGCGGAGTCTCGGTATTTGCAGACTCTCGTATATCAAAATAATATTCATAGTAGTTGAGAAGAAAAAATGGATAAATCATCGTAACTTTACTTATATTTAAGTTTAAGTATTAGCGTGAGATTGATCACATTGTAATCATTGTTATTCTTAATATTGATTAATTAGTGAATTAAACACTTGATACTTAATGCTCGCGATAATGCCTCGATTGCAATATGTAGATGTGTAGAAAATTTGAATTGACGTGTAAAGCTGACGCCATAATATGCTAAATGTGAGGTATAAATCGTACAGCTTAATAATAAAATATGTGTAGACTCACTACCTTGCACTACCTTATTGTTTTTATAACAACATAATGGATATTATCAATATATTTAAGGAATATAATCTTAATGAAAAATTGCTGAAAATATCGTTACTTTACCCCCGATCCCACGACCTCTCGCAAACCGGGTGACTGCTCTAACCACTGAGCTACCCAGGACTGACGAATTTTTCAAGCACTCGTTACTTTTTCGCTACTACAGAGCGTATTTTCATTATTTTTTAAGCATTTTTCATTAAGAATATTTTCCAGTATAGCATTGTGAATGCAAAATTGAACAAATTAATTAATATTAAAGGTCTTTGTGAAAATTGTAAAGTCTATTACTTACGTTATAGAGGATAAGTATAGAGAAGAACTGTATCAGCGAATAGAGCGCCATATATTTGAAAATGGCGAATGATGTGCTAAGAGCACAGCGGCCTTCTAGTGCGAGAAGTTTCACACATCTAATGTTTTGCACACGTGATGTAAAAGGTGCGGCAACTAAAAAAGAAACAGATGGATATAAAAATATTTATGAGTTTCAAAAATTTTGTGCTTAAATAACCCTGAGAAAAATTTTATAAAGTAAAAACCTGCGTTTTTATAATTGAATAAAGGGTTTTATAAAAACGCAGGCATGTTACAAAAACTGTTAATGCTTTACTTATAATGTTACCTGATGCGTCAGCTTCAGAGAGCGAGATGCCGACATGTGCTGCTTTAAGCGCGCCGCAGTCATTAGCGCCGTCTCCACACATGCCCACAATCAGACCTTCACCTTGGAGCGCTGTGATCAGCTGCGTTTTCTGATCCGGTCCAAATCGACCGAACACCATGCCTAATTTAAATTTATTTATATCTTATTTAAATTAGGCATATAACAATAAATAGGGTATTTGATTAATTTTGAAAAACCAGTTTCAATTATTCTTTATTACATAATAATTATAATAAAATTTATTTATTCACTCAAACTATATACACAAACTATATAGTTTATATTAATAAATTAATAAGTATATCACATTAATATTTCGGTGGAAATTTACTGTATTTATCAATAAAAAACAATGTTAAAGTTTAAATTATAACCGAAATTGCGCGAAAAACGCTGCAAGTAAATAAACAAACCTCATCAAACTATAATCGTCATTCGCAAAATGAAAACAAGTTTACGATGAATTTAAAATTTTAAGTACTTTTTAAATAAATATAACAATAATATTATTTTACATAGTAGAAAAGATATATTACACTGGTTAGAAATATACGAGACTTTTATATAAATATAATATTGTACCTTTGCTTAATACGACAGGCAACAATTCTGGATAGTGATTTCTTATGACTGTCCACGTTTTTCCTTCTAGTGCAAGGACACAAACGTCCATTGACATTTTTGGTGGGCATCCTTCACCGACAACCTAATAATAAATGAATGAAATAGTTCACTTAATGATTGGACTGACCTAAAACATCTTCATAGACACAGAATTGAATTTGAATGCTCTTAAAGGTGCTCTCACAGATCAGCTACATAATAGAGATTGTTGCACAACATTTATTATCTAAATTTGAAAAATTGTGGGAGCGTTACAAAAAAATCATATTGATGCAAAATGTCAATCACTGTTATAGAATGTTAGCGTGTAAACTTTTATAACTGTTGTGTGAGAGCACCTTTACGTTCAATTAAAGTTAATTTGATTGATTGGACGCAGTGGACTCGGCTTCGCTTGAAGTAATAACTGCATCTAGTTACGCGGTACAACCAATCTAAATAAAACTATTACCAAAAATATTATAAATCTATTATTTTCTCTCTTTATTAATATTTACTAGTATAAATACCTCCATCGACAAAGGCGGTCTCGAGTCGTCAGTTTGTTGATGTCCTACAGTAATCAACACAAGTTTCTGATGTGGTTGCACCATGAAACATCCTCTAGCTACAGACATAGCCGTCATTATATTGTCACCTAAAATATAGTAATATGACTTAAACAATCTGAATGTTCCATACCATTAAATTGCGTTGTTTCCAACTCAAGTAACTTATAATAAAGGAAAATCTAGAAAAAGTAAAAACATATGTTCTGAAGCTTAACTTTCTCGCAATTTTCAAGGCTGTGAATCCTTTAAAAACTCTCATCATTTTAAAGCATGAATATGTCAAAATGAACTTCAAAAAGATATTTGTAATAAAATCACAAAATAAATGCAGTGGATTAATAAAACAACTTGCTCATTATATGATGATGGATAAATTCAGATTTCTAAAATAATAATGTCAATGATAAAGCTTTTTTATTGAGGCCTCAGGTTACATTTTTCTTTTTTGCCATAACAGCAATCTATCAAGGAACTTAACTAAATCAATAACTGAGCCACATTTGATCGCTTATGTGTTAGAAACATACTGATATAAAAAATGGTGATTATACTTCAACATACTGACAGGAAATATGTATCAAATAAATAGAGTTAAGTAGAAAAAGAAATGTAGTAGAGTAAGAAATATTATAAAGGATTGACTAGGGGTAAAACAAAAGACACCGCCGACAACGGTGTAATAATACACCAATGAAAGGGAAAAAAGAAAAAATAATACTATACAAACAAAAAGACACTTAAAAGCCTGATTGGGGAAGATGGCATTTAAAAAAAAAACTCCTTTTTTAATTTGTTCAACAAAAATAAAATTTAGCTACTAACCAGTGACCATGATCTGTCGAATATTCGCCTCATGGAGTTCTCTGATCACTTGAGTGGTCTCAGGTTTCAGGCTATTTTGCATGACTAGAAAGCCTAGAAAAGTCATATCACACTCAAGTGTATCCCTCTTAATTCTCTGCGCGTCGACCCATTTCATTTTGCGATCGAGTTTCTTGTGAGCGAGGCCGATCACACGGAACCCGTTCGAGGTGTACTCGTTGAGTACGGATGCGAAGTTATCTGGCAAAGACTCTGGCTTGCACATACCTGCAACCTTAAACGGTGTTTGAATTTTAACATTTTAGAGGTGCATATCAATAGGGGTTTCGATAACTTTTTATAAATTTTATTTTATAGATATAAATGAAATTATTTAAAAAAAATATTTAAAAAATGTCATTCATATAAAAAGTTAAAATCTAACAATAAATTCAATTTTCAAAAATTTCCGCAAGAACGCTACTTGTGTCATGGCGTCGCTATGATATCAGGGCCTTCTAAAACTAATATCGCCGCATAAGGTTGAAATCTGTAAGTTCTGATATGAGTAAGAAGGGCGTGACGTCACGCGCTGTTCGCGGTCACGTGACAACGAGCATAATTTCTTTTTCATAATTAATTTAAGAAATAATAAAAATATAATAAGCATAAAAGTGTGATTATCAGTAATGGTATATTAAACACTACCAGAAAAAAAGTATTTATTTTCGTTTACTGTTTGAATCCGTATTTCCTTCAAAGAGAATTGCATTATGCCAGAGATATATTTTCCCATTTATATATATTTTTTACAGTTGGTAACTTTGCCGTAATTTTGACAATCGATATATTATTATTATTATTATTATAGTTATAAATGAACATTATTTTTTGATTGATACTAAACCTTAGTGCATTGACGATAAATCGAAAATTATAGTTCAATATAATGCGTTTAAGTTTTATTGTATTATATGGAAATCGCAGAAACTAGCACTGTCACAAGACAATATTGATAACTAGATTTTTTTTAAATAATCTGACCAAACATAGAACCTCTGAAATTACAACAGCTAAAAATCGGCGTGTGAGGCACTCGATCACGAAGGTCGTCGCTACTTGTACAAAGTTCAAAGCCCATACGATATCTTTTATACATGCTAAGTTAGTATGTAATTTTTAAACGATTTGCTCATACAAAAAATTAAAAAAAACTATATTTTTGTAAAGGTAAATACTATGAGGAAACGACTCAAAAATTTTCCTTATTTACCTTTTCAGGCGCACCTTTGACGAAATATATCATCTGTGGTTGACCAAGTACTCTAGCGATTACTCCCATCGATTGCTGCGACGACGAAAAGTGAAAACGCCGTAACAAACCAATCTAAAGGAGAAAAAATAAACAATTACATTATGTTATTCCTAATAACCCATTTTAATATGATCATCTTTTAGAAATTGTTACCTCATAGGGTATTTCCATAGTATAAGGATCATAGTTATCCAAATTTTGAAGGTCAGCATCAGGTGTGGCGGCGGGTTTTACAATAGCCGGTGTCAAGTTATCATATCGTGTATTCTCTGGACCTGGCTCTTCAAGTACCTAAATATATATCATAGCCATTTTAAAAGGAACTTGATATATACACAAATTGGGTGATTTAGAAGCTTAAAATATGGCAGTGAACTAAAAGCCGATAGCAATCTTTTTATCACATAAATAAATTGTCATTCATTTTCGAAGAATTATGCGTCATCCCGTAATATTTATAGTACCCAACTAAAAATTCGTGGAAATCTCTTGAATTTTTAAGATTGATTTGCTTGCAATGTTGAGTGCATACTTATATTTGTACAGTGGCATGAGGATAAAGATAGTATTATGTATTTTAAACTGTCCATAATAATATTATAAATGTGAAAATAACTCTGCGTGTGTCTGTTACGTTTTCACACTTAAACTTCTGAACTAATTTTAATGGCATTCGGTAGATAGATAAAACGGACACCGGGAAAAGACAAAGGATAATTTCTAGAGTGATAATAATCGAATTTCAAGGCAGCGAAATAGAATAGTAGCTTAGCTTGGGCGGAATTCGAGTTACTAATTGATTAGAGGTTGTTGATAGAAAATATAACGAGTTAGAGAAATAAGATAGAACAAGGTCTGCCGAGATAGCTAATGTTCAATAGATACATACCCACTGAGTGAATTCGAACATTTTGAGATCAAGAGGATCCCCCTTCAGTTGTCCTTGGATACTGGTGAGTGAATGGCAGGAAGCTAGAGCCTGTACGAGAGGACTTTTAGCCGGCAAACTGTTCACATCTACTACGCATTTGCCGAACTTCTCATCCGATTGTGCCGGTATCACTGAATAGAAGTCTAAGCCGTCCTCCGTGAGAGTACCAGTCTGAAACGTAATCTTAATTATTATTATGTCTATTATTCTATTTCAGTACCACTAACCAAGATATGTGAGGTAAGAAGAGCACATTCTAAAACAATAGGACATATTTTAAATTTTCTTTATTTTTTAAAGCTACATCATGCGCGGACGGGCAGTAATCAAGCTAAGTCGCTAGTTTTTTTTAAATATATGAACATAAAAAAGTAACAGTGGTTGCTCTGATAAGTCATAAAAGCTGGATTGGAGTAAGAAAGAAAGACAACAAAAGAGAATATCTCTATTTGACCTTACTACTTTAATATTGTCTAACTAAAACACTGAAAAAAATCAGGGAAAACATTTTTAGAAGTCTTACGTTTTTAACAACTACTGTTATTTATTGAATTAAGAAAATTAAAGGCAAAATTACAACATGAGGCAATTATCTTACCTTGTCGAAACACATTACTTGCAGTTTGCCACATATAATAATCCTTGGCGGTGAAACGCAAAATATTTTGTTCTTGCGCAGACGCTGTTGACTGTACACTATACCGGCTGTCATCGCTGCAGGTAGCGCGGGTGGGACTACTATTGTTATGATGTCCAGTGTACGCAAAACTATTGTGCCGACGGGACTCTACGGAAAAAAAAAACTAAATTTAGCACATATATAGCATGAAAACAATCATATTGGAAACTTATAAGCAAATAAATTACATGTTTGTAAGTAACACTTAAAATTGAAAATAGGTGGGCCAATTTGGCTAATTTAGATTAAAATATTTGTAGAAGTATGCAATGCCAATATGAAGAAGTAGTAAAAGCACCTAATTTATTTTTTCCATACTAACTCTTAATATCTATTAGGCAGAATACGTTCAGAAATTAATTTTTTTGCACTATATGACACATTATTTGATTCTGAGATGGTACGAAGTTCGCCAAGTTAGCTATTTTATATTATAAAATTTGTAAACAAGTACTATGTAAATTTTAATCAATTACTGGACCGAGTTACTCAATTTAGGCACGCGAGTTGAGGCTTGAAAGCCTGTTAAATTAACTGAATAAAGAGATTAGCGTACATTTCTAATTAGATATACCAAACTCTCAGTATTGAAATAACAGTAGTTTTCAATTTATTGTATTTTAATAATACATTAATACCCGGCACTGTAAATAATCTCAAACTGATACATATAAAAATTACAATTACAATTTAAAATTAAAAGCATAAAAAACTAAACATAATTACCCCTCTGAGAACATATAACCAGATAGAATATGCCATGCCTATTGCCGCAATGCAGAACATGAACATTACAAACTTGACAGCATCGTTGTAGAACTGGAAACCCAGTTGCTTTGGGAACAGTATGCTTTTTATCAACTCTCCTTTGGCTGTGTAAAAACCGGTGCGTACAACTTTAGCTAAAACCTAAAACCAAAGAAAATAATGTTAATGCAATGAATATCATAAGATAGTGTAATATGTGTTTGTGGTGCTTGATTGTCTAATCTGTAAAGAATATGGTGTGAAGGGAGGTATAATATTTCTTATACCTGATTATTTCCATAAAATCTGGTTTGAATCACGTGGGTACCAGCAAATAGTGTATGCCTTTTATGTCCATCTGTTGAATAGACTTCTGCAGAAGGGCATGGAGGGCCTTTCATTACTGGTACACTTTCACCTGTGAATAAATTAATATCACTTTTCAATACAAATGAATACCATGTATTGGATAAAAACATTTTTGTGGATTATTAGAACTATTAATTACGAGAAGGTTTTATTTATTAAACAAACATCAACACTCATTGGTTACTTTATAAAAATAAATTTCATGGTGAAAATCCTGTACATAATAACTCGGAAAATCTAATAATCGTATTTTATATAGTTATTAGTACATCTAAGAGATGACAACAATATACACCAGTTTGTGTCTATTGACAAATTTTATCGCAAACCAAGTGTCCTGCTCAGGACAAGATTGTAAATTTTCCCTATTTAAAAATCATTATATAAAGGTTGTTTTAGTTGTATATAACTTTTCCCTGATTAGGAGAAGAAGATTAATCTCGTTGTGTAGTCAGTGTAATAGGTAATAAAGGTGGTAGTGTTAACCTAATATAATCATAATATAAACACATCTATATGTTTATATTATTCATGTATAAAAATTTATTTATGTGGTTTATTATGTAAAATATTTTGAACATATAAGTCAGGAATTAATTTATAGATTTATATTGTAAATTATGCATGCGGAAGTAACCTATGAGTGTCTGTTGCAATAAGCCAAAGAAAACAAACTATTTTCAATCATTGAAAAGAGATGTTGGTTGGTCAACTATATAAATAAAAATAGTCGACAACACAACTCACCAGTGAGCATACTCTCATTAACTATGCAAGTGCCGGTGAGCAGCATAGCATCGCACGGCATAACGCATCCATCGGGCGGCAGAACAAGCACGTCGCCGGGCACTAGCCGACTAGCATTCACGACACATTCCTCACGACCGGTGCGCGATGGCCTCAACACTGTCACAGTGAAAGCACTCGTCGAACCCGCCATTTTGTGCAAGTTTATACTCATCTGTACAGAATAAAAAAACGTATGAAATATAAATATAAGAAATGGCAAGAGTTTCTACACTACTTGGATGATATCTATATTATACATAATATAGCGGATAATCCTAGACAATACTTATCCGATCAATAAAAATCTTTCACCTAAGAGAAGCTAAGTCTATAATTTACATGGGCAAAGTCACAATAAGGAAGCTAGTATATTATATTAATTATTTATTGTTCTTTTAAAACCGCAACTTATTGCAGCCATAGATGAAAAAAGCTAGTCAAATATAAATAAATATATTGATCTTAGTTAGGTGCTTGTATTAAATTTATAATTTTAGGATTTCATTAAAAACTAATTTAATGAACATACCTGTTTCGTTTGATACAAAGCCAGCATACAGGACAGTGTAGATAGTATGAAAACACATGAAGCATATTGATAATATTCATCCAATGACCACAATATGATAGAAAAAACTTGGAATAAATAGAAAGGATTGAAAACTTCTTCTACAAATAAAGTCCAGTAACTCTTTACTTCCACTTCTACAGAATTGTTTCCATATAACTTGATCCTGGAACAAAAAAATTTTTTTTAAATTGTGCCTCCTTTAATACACTGAAAGAATTGTGTAATCGACAGCAAGAAACAGAGGACTGTATATAATTAAATAATATAACTTTTAGCACAGAGAGACATTTATTAATCAACGTACAAAGGCAAGATACATTGACAAAGTCAAAAAATAAAAAAAATATAAATTAAAAACAAGTATAAAAACCTACTTAAAGAGGCCAGTAATAATATTTCAAAAGCATGGTAAGGCTGTCGGCAACAAATTGATTTAATGTATTTTAAATGTATCAGTTTTTGGTTTAACTATTTATCACTGCAACACTTTAAGATGTCTTTCTAAGGATATTATTAATAATATATGCTTAAGTGATGTAATTAATTAATTTTATTTCATACTATAGTTTTAATTAATGAAAAATATACACTTACAGTTCATTCTGTTGACGCTTGTTAATACCAGACACATTTTCCATCAATAGATTGATGGTTAGCCTGTCATTGAGTGCCAGGACATTGGTGAAGGCTCCCTGATCATGCAGCCAGATGAAACGGGTATGTTGGTAAATGAAATAGCGTAATTTGTTATCTCTGTGATTTGAGAGATTAAGATCAATGTCTCTCACTTTTTCTATTTTAAATAGACCATCTGCATCCGTCACTGTAAGAAAAGAATGTATTTGTGCGTTTTTTTAAATTATTTTACAGTCAACAGCATATCACATCCAGCTGTAATTATAATTATTATTTACGTACCACAAACTTGCTCAGCCATTTTCAAACTGCATTTTAGGTACTTGAATCTGTTGTAAGACGGATAATAAGCCAAAGCAAAGTATGGTAACCCACATAGTAGTATGCAAGTGCTATGAAATAAAATCGCACGGACTTTCGAATATTTGAAACCATATATTTTGATGATTTGTTCATCACCACTATTCTCAAGGGTCTGCCACTGACCTTCACCGATAACTTCATATTCATCTGAAATATATAGCACACACTTTATATACATTACCGGGGATCACTGTTGGTTGTGGTGACAGCATTGTGTTTGCATTAGCCTTTATTCAGAAGTGATAATGAAACTCATAATTAATAATTAATGAACATAGAATCATATTATTAACAATTTGATAATATTTTTAGTGTGAATTGCCATTACTATGATAGTTTTGTAGTGCAGTTGGATATATGATAATATCATATAAGGAAAAAGTTTTCAATCAATAGAAATGATTCAAAATATGAAGTAATGTAAGGAAATTTTCATGAAGTCTATTTATGCAATGAAAACTCAATCAGTTTTCTCACAACTAATTTTTCTTGAAAGTCTTCATTAGTATGTATATGGATAAAATTAAATATAAACAAATTATATTTCAGGATCTATAATATTTTTAGGCAAATAAATTACATACCTGGTCATAATAGATATATGTGATAGAATTAAAGTTTCTTAATTGTTAAATAAACATTGTTATTAATAAAATCATTCATCCATTTCTAATCTGTTATAAGAATTTATGTAAAATAATCACTTTATAATTCAATATTAACAATTAATTGATCAACCAACAACTTTTTAATTATAAAGGATGACGACAAAATCAAGTTTATGATCAAAAACTGGAAAACAACTAAGTGATAGTTAGAATATAAATTACTGACGGGATTTTACTATTTACCTTATTTCTGTATACAGGAACATAGTAGAATTTCTATCCATAATAATTATTATTTACTTTTAAATTAGGATAATCAGTATTTTTAAAACCTCAATTATTTTATGTATATTATGGGTTGCATTGTTTTTAATGGAAGAATATATTTGATGGAATCCTTGCAGCAATTTCAGGTGTGACAAAACCTCAAACTTTAACATTAAATAAACCACCATTAATTTTATTTATCTATTAAATAACTGTGATAAAAATATATGTTTTTATTATATTTATTTGATGAGAGTACTATATGTGAATGTGTGTACAGTGTAAAAAAAGGCTTGGTGCCCTTAATATATTTAGGAATGGTGTAGAATTCCACATTTATACCCTTACTAATAAGAAACTTATTACTTGCTTAGTTATACATAGTTCTGTTTGCTCCATCACAATGTGATTTACACTTCAAGTGAAAAAGACACTATTATGTAGTTATACATTGTATGTGTTGATTAACATTGCTTATTAGTAAGACCATTAGGCAGTGCATACAAAAACAAGTAACAAACACAAGTGCAATTTCCACAAATAATAATAATAGACATACATACTTTTTTCACTTAACTTTTATCCAAAATTAGTAATATACAATATGATGTTCATTATTTTAATATAATTCATGTATGTTTATTATTATTCCAACAGCATCCCCGGTAAAGCATAAAGGTTAACTAATGAAATTACAAAATAAATGAAAATTAATGAAATGATAATTGCAAAGTAATCTAAAATAATGATGTTTTTTGCAATGCAGTTGAATAGTGAAGTTCACAAAAAATGTGGTTTAAATAACATAAGCTTTCTCCATATCAACTCAATAATAACAAGGCTATTAAAAGTTAATGAATACAACGACAACAGTGTACTCAGAGGTCTTTAATCAATTTAAATGTCAATTGAGATGTCCCAAGCAATTTAGTGAATGGTTATGGTTGCACAATGTTATGAAGTTTTGAAATTTTTAGTTCATGAAAGTTTAAAAGCTTACTAATTAAGGAAGGATAATGTGTTTTTATTTTATTTCATTTGATAACAGGGTTTAAAACTCTTATACATTTAAGTGTGAAGGTATTATAGCCTATTGTATAAGTGACTTCTCTTATATTACTTGCAGATGATTAAAATAATATATCTTAGGTAAAATAATACAAATGGTAAAATATTTTTTTACCTAATTTGACTCAGATTTGCCTCTATTACATACAAAGTTAAAAAAACATTCTCTCTTTTCAATATTATTATAGATTTTTTAATTGGAGCTATACTCAATAAAAATACTGCAAATAGTTATTAAAATAACCATGCTTATTACTTAGTATCTACTAATAATCAATAATAATGACACTGAAAAGTAAATATTATAGGCACAAGGTTATGTGCCTATGAGTCAATAATCAATGTATTTTCACTGTAAGATTATATGCATCGAGTCCTACGATTATTAAATAGTAATATAGTGTTTTATCAATAATATCTTGAAATTATGTATGTAAATTTATCAACAAGGTTGAGTTCAATGATAATTTCCATGAAAGCGCGTAATAGTTAATTTACTGTTTTGTGACAAAGAAAACTTTTTTAGTTTTATATTTCATTTGAAATAGTGTAACTTGGTGTTTATGAGTCATTGTTAAACAAAATCAAGTGCAAATATACTTACCACAGGCGACGATGGCATTGTTCATGTTCGGCATCCCCGTAAAGATTTATTTTTATCTTTTTTCACACAAATACTTTAAGGCATATTATTTAGATGTTATATTGAACTTTTATAAACCGATGCTACCTCATTGCAATTGATTTGTAAGATATTTCGCCTATGAAACCGCACTACTCACATCACACCTTTATAAGAATATGAATGAAGTTTTCATAGACAAAATGTCAATGTAACGTCAATAAAATGTCAAAACATTTTTTTAATAGTAGGTTTAATGCATGCAATGAGGAAGTATTTAAAAAGAACGAAAGCATAAAAAAAGTACCTCCACTAGATGGTGACTCTAGCAAAAGTTGATTGTTGCAGGAAACGAATGAACCAAAGACAGTCATTTCCGTTCCTTTTAACTAACATATTAAAAAAATAGAAATTTGAAAAGTTCGAAACTTAGATATCAATACAAATACGAAAAAGTACAAATAGAATATGAGTTGTTTATTGAGTTTTGAAAACTAATTTACTTTTAAACGTGAAAGAAAACCGGAATGGTTGTCATGGAGAAATCAAGAACGTACCGTAGCGACATCTAGTTTGATTTCGGGAACTATTTTTTTTTAATATTTCCTGATTGTTTTATGAACCAATGAAGTCTCTGAATAGGTCAATAAGTCCTTAAAATAATAAAGAGAAGGACCAAAGTAATAAAACGAAGGCAATGATGAAGTATTAAAAAAAAACATTAGTTCCCGAAACCAAACTAGATGTCGCTACTATTGGTGGTTAAATCTGTACGCTCTGCTTTACTTTACCATACATGTAAAAAAAACCACAGTATAGTCTATGATCTTATATAGTCTGTTCTGAAGAGGGAGGATTTTTTTGAAACGTAAAAGAAACATAGACTATCCAGTGAAATTTTCACTGATTTTCCTAATTTACTCATGTTCGAGAAGATGGCGTTACTAGCGGCGGCGCGTTGAGTCAAATTCCGGATGTTATTGATTTGGCGCGAAGCATAATAAAAAGGGTGAGTTAAGAAAATAATGCGTTAGGACTAAGAAGTCGTTACAAGATAATTCACGAATAAATAAAAAAATGTCGCACAGAGCTCTGTCTAGTGAAAAGTCGGAATATTTGGAAGTAGGAGAATATAATTTTACGTGGCCCGGCGAAAATGGCACTTTTCAAGATTTTGGTTCAATAAATTATACAATGCCGTCTGGTAAGTAAACCGAACCATAATTTATAAACAGATATCTCATAACCGATATCTACCTAAACTATTTACGTTGAATTACGGTTGAATTGCTTAACAATTGTAGGTCCATGGTATTGGCCGTGGTGTCCACTATGGCGAATTTCACAGCATCCATTATTTCAAGTGAGTGGAGATTATACTAATGTTCATAGACTTAAATAATTATATATGTGAAATGTATTACAAAATTTATTTGGTTTTAGCTTTCGAATATGCTATTTGTGGCTTCTTATTGCGCTCCTAGTACCAAAAAGGGACAACTGTGGATGCACACCATTCTAATATTTGGTAATTATATTTTTAATTCGTTAACTAACAGTATACTAATAATAGCAATTAGATAAATATTTACAATGCCTTTGTTAAATTGAAAAAGAAATCTGTTATGCTTGATAAAAATAACAACCTCTTGAACAGTAACACTATATTTTAGTTGTAAATAATTTAATGTTTTGAAAATAAATGAACAGTAGATATTGTGTTAAAAGTGATCCAAACAATAACATTTTACCTAACAAGCATATTTATTCTGTTGCAAAGAATAATTATGCCTGTTTGGTAAAATAAGAACAAAAAGATGAAATAAGAACTACAGGAACCTACTATCATTTTTTTCGACAATTAATAATTACGGCTTACTTTTATGATCCTTCTGTTTTCTGTGGTAGAGATTATTCGGTATATCGAGTACCTACTTAAGAAATATTTTATTTTGAGAAAGTATATTACCTTAACTTACTAAATACTTCCATGACATGAAAGTACTTTGTAATTTACTAATAAAGGAATATTTAATGATCTCTATTACTTTTACAATGTTTTGTTACTTATAGGAAATACAATCGTTTAGGCACCTCTAATATGGTTTAATTATAAACTAAACTGGTCAGTTCATATTTTCAAATGAGATTATTAAAATATCTCATGATCTCATCTACATTATTTTTATGCCTAATTTAGCTCACCTCTATAATATTTGTCAAGTTTATTAATGTATAACAATATAACATTGAACCTATTGTTATAAAAGTAAACTATTTCGAAGCCGAATGAAAAGGCTATTAACGAAAATATACAAACGTAGAAGAACGGATAATATAAGCCACAGTTCACAACGTGGTCCTAGAGTGGCTTGCAGCCAAAACCACAGATAATCCAGAGCTAAAGGTTAATAATCAATATTTTTGATTCTTATTCGATGATCTAAGAAAGTTACTTAGTAACTTAAAGACATTTTTATACATATATTTAATATTAATATATCAAAATGTACACTAAACGATATAACTCGTTGGCGAATTGGATAAGCACCGCGGCCCGCCATCGTCGTTGTTAAGCAGCTTTCACAAAGTTAGGTCACAGGATGGGTGACCAAAAAACTTGAGCTACTCCGTGCTTCGGAAGGCACATTAAGCCGTTGGTCCTTGCTGCATTTACAGTTTTTAATACCCTCCAATCCTCATTGGGCCAGCGTGGTGGGTCATACATGGCCCATGCTCCTTAACCATCCAAAAGGAAGGCCTGAGCCCCATCAGTGAGAACGTAAAAGGGCTGGAATATTTAATAACACGCAAACGAAAAGGTACCTCGTTTGAACTGGGTAGATTTTCGCTCGCGTGTTATTCAGTTATTATCGCTTTTCGTAGAACCTCTTTAAGCATCTTTTTCGCGATTAAAACTACCCTATGTTCTAATCATTTAAATTGGCTTAGTAGTTAAACAGATACACACATAAACACTGTTACTTTTTAATAGTATGTTGTTCGTCTCCACTATAATACTCTAAAGTTATCCAAAAGATATTACTTATGAAATATTTTCAGTGTTATGCTTTGTGGAGACAGCCAACTGAATTACAATGGCTACCATGAATAAGTCTTCGGACCTAGTATCAGCAATAAACAAATAGTTATCCTGGCATTTTGCTTAATAGGAAATGAATTTGGCTCTGTATAGCTTTACAGGGTATTTAAATCATCTACTTTTTATTTATTATAGTTTCTAAAAGAAAATACACCAATGAAATGTAATTCTTTTCGAGTTTAATTAACTTTTAAAATTACTTTTTAAAATAATCTTTTTATGGCTTGACTTGACGAGTTCCATGGCGTAGTGGTTAGCATTTATGGTCTCGAAAGAGCTGTCGTTGGGCTTTCAGAAATAGATTCCAGCTCCATTTACAGCGGCTCATCATCATCTTCAACCCTGTTACGTCCCATTGTAGGGGATCAGGGGCGCGACCGTCCAACTCATGGACGTAGCCGTAGTCGTAGATATAACCTACACTTTATCGATATTTCTTATGAATCTGTTTTATTCTTTTAATTTTTTTTTAAATTTTAATATTTTATCAAACATTTTGGTTTGTTTTTCTTTTCGAAATAGCATTGTTTGTATCAATTCGACAATTTGTAAATTTCGTTTAACTTTAATAATTCAGCAAACAAAAAAAACTAAAAGCGTTGATTAAATATGTAAATAATAAAAAATTATTAATTTTAAAACAATATCAACAGATTCATGTGTTAAACCTATAAAGCGTAGGTTATAGATACGACTACGGCTACGTCCATGAGTTAGGCGGTCGCACCCCTGGCCGTCCTTATGAATGGTTAAGGAGGAGGCTGGGCCATAACCCTCCACACTGGCATAATGCGTATTGGAGTGTATTATCGACTGCAAATGCAGCCGGGACCAACGGCTTAACATGCCTTCCGAAGCACGTAGTAGCTCGATATCACAATTTTTGGTCACCAGTGACCGAACCGTCCCCTTATAATTCTATACAAGTTTTTAGCTTCAAGTTTTTCTGCAGCTTTTATGCTGTACTCAATATGGGCGTGGCACGTGATATGTTCGCCCGACGCTTTCTCTTGGAACTTCGGCTTCGTGTTCCTGAATCTAGCGCAGGTGGTCTATTTGGTGTACGAAATGAGACCAGTAAAGTTCGATCCAGAACTGGAGGAAGTCTACCATACTCTGTTTGAGCCCTTCAAGGTAACTTCATTTGAAATCAATATTCTTAACAATTGTTTCCACCATATTTTAAGTATATCGACTGTAACACGCGTATTTCAAAATGTTTTTGACGTTTCAAAGCCTTTGCAAGTTCTGTTGTCAGTAGAGCACTATAGTTAAAAGTTCCATACAACAGTTTGTAAATAATTTGGAATCAATATTTTGAATAGTATTGTAACCTCATGTATTATGTTATTTTATTTAAGACCAATAAGTAGAACGACATTCAATCGAACGCCGACAATCGTTAACTGCATTTGGGCAAAATAGTAAGAAAAGAAAATCTGTTTTTTAAATTTGTTTGAAAAAGTAAATATAATAAATTGTAACGTAACCATTTATCTGAATGGACTATAAATTCCTTTAGGTATCTCGATTGCAGTTCAAAAGAATGGTATCTCCAGATTTTGCACACATAATGTCTCTTCATGCCGGGGAGGCTTATGCTATGCAAAACTTGACAAAGACGGACCGTTTGGGTCTCCTACTATCGGGAAAGGTAAACAAAACTTTTTGTTCTTAGTGAATTTTAATCGATTTTTCATGAAAAAAATAATAAACATATGTCTGAATTATATTCTTTTATTGTGATATCTATACAAACATATGTGTATTCTGACAGATTTGCTCTGCAATGTTGTACTAATATTAACTGCGAAAGTTAAAAATTCTTGAGAAATTTGATCGCTTTGAAGAGCAGCCTGGTTAGTGAAAATTACGGGGGTGAAGTCCAGTCTTGCTAGAGTTGCCCGAGGTCCGAGGTAGTTGTTGTGGAAAGCTGTTATTTAATTTGCAGTGTATGTATTCTGTAACTCTGTAAATCTTGTAACAGAATTTCAAAGTTAAAGATATCCTCAACAGATTACGTTGTGGCATACGGGTTTAGTTTAGATCACAGATTTAGATAGTAACTTTTGAAACTAAATCTGTATGCCATCAGCATGAATTAATTCGGGGACGACACAATATGGCGAAATAGTAATTATGGGTAATAAATAATGGATATAGATGAAAGGGTTTATTTATAAAATATGAATATAATAAAAATAATTATGTCTAAATCCAATATGGCAGAGTAGTCTTTAAGAAGTCCTATGTGATATGAGAAACACAGATAAAAAAATATTTATAAAAGGACGGCCAGTAACAAAATTACTGTTAAATCACTAAAATTATAAAAACATGCACTATTTATAAAATAAAATTTGTAAATCATACGTATCATCTCATTAGGTACATTAAAATATATAAGAAAACCTTGTAGCTTTTATTCTTGAAAATAAAAAGAACTTATTCATAACTTAAAATATTCAAAAATACAAATGAAAACGTTAAGAGTTATTCAAACGATCATATAAAGCTAACTATCAAGTTGTTACATCGGGAGTATATTGGGCATTATGCCAACGCTATAAACCGTATGATGATGGTAAAGTACTACGAGTAAAATTAATTTTCCTGCCTTTATATAAACTGATGGGATTTTTTGCTCAGAGCATCCACATCAGAATATCACAAGCAAAACTTATTCCAATTGTAATTCTATAATCGCTCTTTGTTCGTTAGAATTCTAAAGTGCCCTTAGCGTTCGGGAAATCCATAATAAGAAAACTGGTTTTATCCTTATCGGACAGCTTATAATAACAGGAAAATGTTGTGGTCAGTAGGGTAATAATTATTGTCTTTGTTACGTTATGTCTTTGTTCTCTCTGTCTCTTTTTTTAACCTGCTAACATCGGAGATAAAAAGATGTCTAAATACACGATGCGAATTATGTTGTAACGAGTGGTTGATGTCCGATTTGGGTCAATATATTACATACATTTTCAAAAAAGACGATCATTTTCTATTAAAGAGAAAAAGATACACCGGTAATAAATTTTTCCTGTATGTTGTCGAGCGAGCAGTTTAAAATAATTTTTGTGTGAACACGTGCCAATGTTTGTAATGAATATCTATAAAGCTCCGTTTGCATAACGCTTGGAACGTGACTTACTTTGGTGTAATATTTTTTAATAGGTAGTATTTTTTTAAATAAGTAGGTATATATCTCAGTAACAGGATATCATAAATGCGCTTTTATCTTTATACATTGTTTTTAGGTATATCATATTAAATTAAGTTTTTATTGATGAAGATTATTAACCCCCTGAAATTAAATAAGTTCGCATTATTCTTTTATGTTTCATGAAAAAATGTACGAGAACCTTTAAAATTTTGCACGATTTAAATAAAATTAATGTAAATTTGTAGAAAAACAATAATTATGCACGTGCCTATATTATAATTTTCTTAGAATCAGAAAAAAAATCCTCATAGGCTTAATAACGGGAATGTAATATTTTCTCTTAAGTACGTATATAAATTTTGTTGTCAAAAAATTTAGTGATGTACTGGAAAATAATATATTTTATTTATTTTCATATAATTTTAAAAAACTCCGTGAAAGATAAGCTTCTACAGAATATAACAATTACAGATTATTTATAAAAAAGTCAGAAATTCTTGTTTTTCAATTGTGTCTTCTAGACTGTGTTAACACCAAAGTATAATTAAAACAATCATTGTAATGTAAATAGTAAGCCGAGAAAGGCCACGATACGTCTTTCACGATCAAATCAATCATGTGCTCTTAGAAAGTGATTTCAGAAGCCATAAAAACGGGCGAGTATGTATGAAAAGAGTAATAAAAGTGGATAAGGCGAAAGAAGTATGTAAGGACCATACATAGTGGTGTTCGGTCCTCTCTGCCTACTATATATAGATAAATAGAATCATTATAGTCTTAAAAAACACGTGTCCAAAAAGTCTTTATATACTATGTGTATATTTTATAGGTCATGCAACATAATTTATATGTCCAAGTAGAAATAAAATACAGCAAAAAGTATTTACGTTTATGTAATTTTTTATAATCTTCATATTTATTTTTGGGAAGTTTTTATAACTTAATTATTAAAAGTTTTTCATTATTGTATATTCTTTTACATTTCACTGTTAAAACCTTTAAAAAACCCAAGTTTCATAATCGTGACCGAAATATTAAGAAGATTTTTTTTTTACCTCGAAGTTGTTAATGGAACCTAATATGTATGTATATAATTCTATGGACCGGTGTTAATAATAAATAACGTTTTTTATGGGGCTCACAGGTCAACGTAATGAGCGGTCATCAATTTTTACACCCGATCCTTCCCTGCGAATTTCTGGACTCTCCCGAATTTGAATCCAGTAGAGCTACGATCGACGAGAAGTTTAAGGTAAAAATCATCAACCATTGTTATTTTATTTCAAAACTGTTGGTTAATTCTGACAGAGAGAGTGTCAAATTTTTTTTTTAAATTTAAAAATAAAAACTACTTTTTTGATAACCATCTTATAGAGATGTGTTCGAAGCTGTATTACAGAATATAAGCACATTTACTGCCGACAATACACTTACATTTATAGATAACCTTATTGGTGGCGTTATATAGTAAGTTTTAAATAGGTAGTAATTATTTAGCCTAGATATAAATTGGTAATTTATAATTGCCTTCTATCTTTAAAGATGCCTTCTACCTTTGTTACTTATTCCAACAAAAATCATCTATGGTACTTGCATCAAAACAAAAATTTAATTGAGGCAAGCTTCCGGCTGGGTTCCTTTAATTTATATTTCAACGCTCCCCTCGTTTCACGCAAAAATGCGCCAGTAAAGATTTCGCCGTTGTAAGGCAATTGGGCTCACTAACGGGGCGCCGTTGATGAGTTCATTAATCAAGGAACTCTGTACACTCAAAGAACTAGCCTTAACCTATAAAGACGATGTTCTTCTACCACTGAGGTCGGCTTAATACCGTCTATACAAAGTAAGCACTTCATATTTCATAATGTATTGAGGAGTTTTAATCTTTTGTAATAACAATTTGTTTATACTTTTTTAAGTAACCGAGACGATATCAGGATTTTTATTAATTTAAAATCACGCAAAATCGAAGAACGTCATACAATTCTTTGACGCTATCTCTTCAAACGATGAAAATTCATAGGTAATAAGGATTTCAATAAATGGCAAAATATCTTGTATATTTTATGTAAAATATTTAATATCAATTGAATTTAGTACTTGTCTTTAGTTGAAGTTTATTAAAAATCTCGTCATTTGACTCGCGATTTTCCTCTGGATAAGATGTTTTTAGCTTTGATTTTTTCCATGCGCTATTTAAGTAAAATAGCGAGCGCATATATTTTGTTTCTTACAACGAACATTTGAATTCTTAAGGTATGTGGATACTCATGGCGAGGATAAGGTTGATTGAGAAGACGCTCGTTTGAGCATTAATCGAGATCCTCCACACCACAGGGTTACATGTGGACATGTATACACACCTTTACTCACTTTTTCTCTATAATCTGGCAGTACCAAGCAAAAGAAAATGTTCTTTGCAGTAGCGTTGATAAACTCTAAAACAGATTACTGCATGGAAAATAATGTATGGACATTGGGTGTTATTTATGATATTGAATTTCATATTTTTATTTTATCAAAGCAAGAAACTAAATTCTTCATCCTCATTTGACGCACATAGTATATTCGTATTTGACAGTTTATGAATACCAATGTTAGAGTTGTATACTAAAACCTCATAATATTTTTTTTTTAAACATAAAAGGTAAAGACAAAATTCTCGTACAACATTATAATTAAGTAAATGAAGTAAGGTTAAAGGTTAATAACAGTGCAAGTTTAATGTTTGCCTTCGTCACTAAACTATTCATTTGTTTACAAAATGCAAACACAACTTCTTGGAAGTTCTTAACTAACTCGTGATTTATTTATATCTAATTTAAAGCACACTATAGTATCTTTTTTTTAATATACCCTTTGTATCTACATAATTGTGGCCCTTAGGTGCGTCGAAGTTATAGTGATAAATAACAGCATATCTTCATAGAGTACTATCCGTCTTACACTCTTAAGGTAGTTGAAAGAATAAAAATCTCTGTGTGTAACGTCATACGTAGTATCTTATTCTTAGTCTGTAACGTATGTATTATTATAGTCAAACATCACTAGAATGTAAGTTCAAATAGGTAACTATTAAGTTATTACATAACATTTCACAACAGTGACAATAAGAAAACAGTCGTCAAAGTCAAATTGTTTAATGCGTCATACCTGTCATATCTGTGACATGCCAGACTTAGGTAAATAGTAAATATACTTTAATAAATGAAGATATACATTTTTTTGTACACAAGGACCATATTCGTGTGTTTCACTTTGCGTTGTCTATTATTCTCAACAAATGCGTACACGATTTACATGCGTACAAAAAACAAAAGGTTTTTTTTAAATAACAATTAAAGTATCTAGTTTCAGTCCTTGAAACATTTTGTATACAAATTAAGTTGTACTGAACAAAAA